TTCTAAACTGTGAATTAGAAAAAAAAGATAAAACCAATTTTACTTAATAAAGGGTATGGCCTCCTTTACTGTTCATTACAGCCCTACATCGTCTCTCCATGCTCCTGATCAGATTGTCGATCTCTTCTTGAGGTACAGCCTGCCACGCTGCATTCACCGCCCGAACCAGATCCCTACGAGTTTCACGAGGCATACTTATTCTCAAAATTCTTCTTTGGACCGCGTCCCATACGTGCTCGATGGGATTGAGGCCAGAAGATTGTGCCGGCCAGGGTAAGATGTTTAATTGATGAGCATCGATAAACTCACTTACCACTCTGGCTGTATGAGGCCGTGCATTGTCATGCATGAGAATGAAGTTTCTCCCAAAATCATTGGCATATGGTAACACGACAGGCTCAAGAATTAAATCGCGATATGTGATTCCTGTTAGAAACCTTTCAAGAAAAATGAGATCGGTTTTTGGGCCTAACTGGACTCCTGCCCAGACAATAACTGTTCCACCTTGATAAGGGTGCACTTCCTGAACATGTTCCAACCGAATAAGATTTTCCGGTTCTCTCCATACCCTAAGCCTTCTCGAATCCGGATGAATTCCAAAGCGTGACTCATCCGTGAAGAGAACATTGGCCCATTGTTCATTCGACCACTGAACATGATCTTGAGCCCACAAATATCGTACCTCTCGATTTCCTCTCGTTAAGGGTTGAGCTCTCCAGGGGCGTCTGCTTCTTAAGTTGACCTCTCTTAATCTATTGCAAACAGTGTCAGGATGAACGGTTACATTATGTGTTTCCTGGAGAATTAAACTAAGCTCTGGTGCTGTAAGAGTCGGTCGACGTCGAGCATTTAATTGTAAAAAATGAGGGGTAGTAATGCGATGTCGCCCTGTGTGACTTTCAGCAACATCACCACTTTCACGGTACCGTGCACTTAATCGCGATATTACACTTTGCGTTGTATTTAATGCTCTAGCTACGTCGATTTGGCGCATTCCAGCTTCGAGCATACCCATGGCCCTTAGCATTGCGTCTCTGTTAAGATGTCTACGCTCCATAATATCGTTTAATACTAAACAGAGTTATTTGAATGAATTCTGGCCAGTTATCATAAAAACATAGCCAGTACAGGTTAAATTCGAACAATTGATGCTAGATGCTTTTTATACATTTGACAAAAAATGCACAAACACTTCTGCAAATATCCCAAATTTAGAAATAACTAGTGTGAATACTTCGTTTCAATCGAAGTAGAAAGAATCGGCCTACAAATATGTGGTTGTTTATTCAAAACATTTATTTTTAACTTTAATAAAATGATATCCCTAGATTTTTCCGGTGTGTGTATTTATACACAAATGAAATATAAGTTATAAAAGATTGATATTTTATACTTAAGTAAATAGTGCAAGAAAATAGACCTTCAAATACGAAGTTTTGGTAAAAACTTGAATTTTTGATATATAAGTTTCTTTGAAAAATCTAAAAACGAATTGTAAAAGATTTTTTTTTAATTAACCCCCGAGAAGAATTTCGAAATTTCGGGGAAACGGTAAGAACTAGAAAAAAAGTTTAAATATAAGTTGTGGAGCGTCAAATTTTACATAGTGTTACGTTTTTCGTACGGGTCCGCAACAATAGAAATGATCCCAATACTTTTTTTGCTCAGATCAAAATTAATCTAGATAGGGTGGCTAGAAGCACAGAATATCTAGCTACGCAACAGAAGCCTCGTTACATGTATAAAATTGTAGGTAGCAAAAGGAGACAGGCTTTAAAAGTCTGTCTCCAAATCAGATATTTTGATGTGGTAGTTTCGCTACTACATAATAGGGGGCATCTTGAAAAGATTCTATGTAAAATTCTTACTAAAAAGATAATGTTTAGTGAAAGTACTTTTTTATTTATAAATATTTATTTAATTCTGTTTTTAGTATTTGTTCTTATAGCGGCAACATAGATACATTATCTGTAAAAATTTCAACTATCCAGCTATAACGGTTCATAAGATAGACCATTGTGACAGACGGACGGACAGCAAAGTCTTAGTAATAGCACAAAATATCTAGCTACGCAACAGAAGCCTCGTTACATGTATAAAATTGTAGGTAGCAAAAGGAGGCAGGCTTTTAAAGCCTGTCTCCAAATCAGATATTTTGATGCGGTAGTTTCACTACTACATAACAGAGGGCGATAAATTTAAAAGAAAACAGTTTTCTACAAACGAAATTTAAAAGAATTTTATGCAGTGTTGCCATTGTGTAATTTATATTGTAACACTTCCTGATAAAGCCTACCTTCAAATTTGCTACATCATTTAAACATATTAAAATAGATTGGAGCTCTTTTTTTCAAACGTTTAAGTATTTAACTTGCCATGTTAGTTGGAGTTAAATCTTACGAGCTGAATTAAAATCACTTCCTGACGTTTGATTTAACTGAATCCTGAATTTTGATTGTAATTCTCGGCGACAATATAATAAGTATAGTTCTACTATTATGAACTTCCACTTCCTGACGTTCAATTGTGTTCATACCGTATGATCGGGAAAAAACGGCGTTAGCGATGGCTATGAAATGAAAATCGCTGTCATTTTATGTGTAAATTTATATGGGAAATGTCATCGATCGTCTTTTCCCAGCCAACTGGACGCCGTTTTTTTCGGTATCATACGGTATTTGATATATACTTGCGTATTTTTCATGACATTACAATATTATGGTACCATGAAGCATATCAAGTGATACCGTAATATAGTACCATATTACGATACATGGCGTTCGATTGGGCTTAAACTTGGTATATTACGTATCTTCAGTGACATTGTAATATTATGGTACCTACCATGAAGCATATGAAGGGTACCATAATAGTACCATATACGATACCATTTCCTGGCGTACGATTGGACTTATACTTGGTATAGTAAGTATCTTCGATGACATTGTAATATGATGGTACTATGATGCATATAAAGTGGTACCTTAATATAGTACCATATTACGATACCACTTCCTGACGTTCGATTGGGCTCATATTTGATTATACTTGCGAATTTTTGATGACATTACAATATTATGGTACAATGAAGCATAGCAAGGGGTACCATAATGTAGTACCATATTACGATACCACTTCCTGGCGTTCGATTGAGCTTAAACTTTGTATAACACGTATTTTCGGTAACATCGTAATATGATGGCACCATGGAGCATATAAATTAGTACCTTCTATAGTACCATATTATGATACCACTTCCTGACGTTCATTTGGGCTCATATTTGATATATACTTGCATATTTTGATGACATTGCAATATTATGGTACCATGAAGCATATCAAGAGGTACCATAATAGTACCATATACGATACCATTTCCTGGCGTTCGATTGGGCTTAACTTGGTATAGTAAGTATCTTCGGTGACATTGTAATATGATGGTACTATGATGCATCTACTATGATGCATATATAAAGTGGTACCTTAATATAGTACCATATTACGATACCACTTCCTGACGTTCGATTGGGCTCATATTTGATTATACTTGCGTATTTTTGATGACATTGCAATATTATGGTACCATGAAGCATATCAAGGGGTACCATAATGTAGTACCATATTACGATACCATTTCCTGGCGTTCGATTGGGCCCAAATTTGATATACTTGCGTTTCTTTATAAAGATTTGTTTAATTAATAATTTTAATTTATTTTACGAATTATAATTTATTGTACGATGCCGTGATAGCAACTTTTATGCCGAACCAATATATTATTAATTGTACCTGTGTCACTTTAAAATCTACCTAGGTCTATATAAACGTGGCAAACAGGAGAAATTTGTTATTATAGTATTTTTTTAGTCAATTAACATTTTTTATACTGCATTTTAATAAATTATTTCCATTATTATTAAACGTATATTTCATTACTAACGTTTTAGCATTAATAATTATCACTATCAATCGCCCTGTATAATATTAATTTTACAGGTAATTAAAGTTATTTTCTTAGTTAACATAATAAAGTAGTGTACATATATATTAAAGATGTATTTTGTGAGCATATGTTTTCTAATAATATACTTAAAAACTTAAAACTATTTTAAAAGCCAAACGAATAATTAATATTAGTGTATCTGACAAGAAACGAAGAATAGAAAGAAATTATTATACACCAAAAAAAGAATGGGATGCCAATTAAAGTCTGTTTGAATCTGGCAACTGTGCATATTTAGCCGAGCTTTAAGGCCGTCGACGTGCCGTCAATCTACGTCGATCCAAAACCTTGAGTTGAAAATTTCTAATTATATTCTGATTATGATATTGTCGCGCCATCTAGTATTTTATTTGTGCAATTTTAGCTCTTTCATTGCGAGTATTTTTCTGTTGCGTAGCTAGATATTCTGTGCTAGAAGCTACCGGATGGCAGTAGAAATTTAAAAAAAAATAAGTTGCTGAAAAATTCATATATTATTTAACATTTTTGTTAAATTTACTTGGAAACTTATAAATTTCAATTAATTTTTTTTTAAATTCACCCCAAAAAGGGGCGAAAAATTTAAATAAAATGTTTTTTTTTCAAATTTCGAAGAAACGGTAAGGACTTTGAAAAAAATGTTTAAATAACAGCTGTCCTCTAGCTTCTATAGCTACTCTATCTCTGTAGATTTTAATTTGAAAAAAAAATATAGAAACTATTTCATGTTTATAATATAGTGACAGCCTTCTAAGCGTTATTCACGTTGGTTCATTTCACAGGTTAATTTTTTCGATGGGCTTGTAGTGGATGAAGCAAATAACTATAAGAATCTTATTAACTATAAAATTTAACATTGTCGGACAACATTTTTTTTACAAACAACAAATTCTAAATTTATAATATTCTTTAAATTTAAAGACGTTTCAAAATGACGTCTCGTAAGTAATGTTTGTGCTTTTGCTACCTTGGTTACGCATCCCAATAATACATCGAGCACTGTTTCGCATGTCAACATATCAAATTCTGACGTATTTTTCTCTACTTATTTGTTACAATTCATTTTTAGAGCTTTCAAAGTAACTTATATAAAAAATTCAAGTTTTTACCAATATTTGAAGGCCCTATTTCTTGGACTATAGACTTAGAATACAGGTCGGTACAAAGAATATTTCAATTTTCAAACTTTATGCAAGAAAATATTTAACCAAAATATTTTGGTGTGGACAAGGACAAAATGTTTTTCTAAAATTGATGCAGATGGATTCGCGATATTCATTTCTGACATTTAGTTAATAGAGTTTATTGTTTATCTCTGTCTCTGGTTTATTAAAAAATAATCGGTCTAGGGTGCAAATACTATACAGGGTGTTTTAAAAAACATGTGCTATCCATCGTGGGGAGATTCCTTCGTAAAAATAAGATTTATTTTTCATATCATAGGTCCCCTCTGCTTTGTTTCGTATAGATAAAGGGTGGTAAAGTCTTAATATTTTTTCGATTAATTAATAATTTTCTTCCAAGTACTTTTAGCGTTTTGAATGATTTATTCAGAGTAAAAGTTACTGTAAATGCGACATATTTTAAAGCTAAAAAAGTGTCGACATATTCATCAGGGACGTGCATATAGGTTATTACTGGATATTTTACTAAAAAAAGCCACTGACTTTTTTCTCTTGTTAGCGAAATAGTGTAAGCAGTTTAATGCCGATTAAATGTTGTCTCTTGATATTTTGCCGATTTCGGCCTCCTTGATGAGATAAACGCAATTTTATTAATTTGCCTTGATCCAAGTCTAATAGCAACCTTTAAAAAAAATAATATCATTAACTTGCGAAAGTTTTAAATAAGTACTCATTGATTCCTCATCAAAAAATATGAAAAAAAAAATCCTTTAAACATGGATATGGAAATGCATAGTTTTAGAGTTACAGGATGTTAAAACTTTTTAAAATTAGGAGTTTTTTGTAATTATCTTAAATAACATTATTTTTTTATTTGAAATTGCTGTATAGGTTGGACTCTTAAGTATAATATGGTATAATATAATAAATATATATAGTAAATTAGGTAAAATATGTAATTTATGAATTTTATTTTTATTTTATTGTGATTAATAAAATTGCGTTTATCTCATCAAGAAGGCCGAATTCGACAAAATATCAAGAGATAACATTTAATTCGCATTAAAGGGCCTACACAATTTTGATATCAAAAGAAAAAAGTCAGTGGCGCACATTTTTTTTGAAAAATATTCCAGTGATAACCCATATGCACGTCCCTGATGAATTTATCGACATTTTTAGCATTAAAATATGTAGCACTTATAGTAACTTTTACCTTCAAAATTTCATTCCAATCACTAAATAAGTACTTGGAAGAAAATGAAAATAACTCGAAAGATTATTAAGCTTTTAACACCCTGTAGTTACGAAACAAAGCAGAATCGGACCTATGTAATAAATCTTAGTTTTACGTGAGGAATCTCCCCCACGAGAGATGGCACATGTTTGTTGAAACACCCTGTATATTCTTCGACGTCTGCAACCAACAACGCCGAAGTTTGGCTTCGTTGGTTACATCCATCTATTATTTTATGAATCGATTTTTTCCTTAGCGAGTTTGAGCTTGCGCCATACGTCAAACGACAAAATTTAGGGCTGCGTTCAGGTACTGAGGATGACCATCTGTTTAGACGATAACAACATAGGGTTGTTTGTCCTTGTTCCACACTATATTAAAATTATATTTGGATGTCTCTCTCTCTTTCTCTATAAGAATATCCCTTACTTTAGAACGTTGAAGGCCGTAAATTTTATGTCCGGAGTGCACCTGGCACTACCTACAATATCTATCACAGCCTAGAAAAGGAGCATTGCTACTTGAAATATAATGTGTTAAAAAATGTTAGTGAGTGAATTAATCAATCGTCATATGCAAAGGGTCCAGCTGCAACTACCACACTAGGAGCAGTTCAGAGCAGTTACAGACAACGCAATAAAACAACAGCACTTCTATTATTGAGTGGTCTGTAAAATCCGGTTTGTGCATTGAAAAGGTGAGTTTGTATTCTCCAATCAGTTTGTTACGAGTTTATTGCTCCAATCGTATTTAAGTATGAACTGTCAGTTTTGAAATAAACCAATAAAATTGCACAAATAATAATAATAGTTTGAACGAAATGAAATTTTGTGAGCACATGTAGGTAAATTTAGACCACGTTTTAAAAATATAGAGAGTTCTACAGGGTATCCCCCAAAAAAGTTAATTTAAACATATTAAACCCTTATAATATATTTTATGTCCAAAAATAAAATAAAATACAGGGTGTTCCATAAGAAAAGATCTAACTTTGGTATGGATCTTAGTTCTGATACACCTTGTACATTTGAAATTAATTTTAAATTATGCACATTGCCTTCCCAAATACCGGGTGCGTCACAAAAGTGGCTCACCCCTATAACTTTTTTATTTTTTAAGTTAAAACGAGATTTGGTATGTTAGTATATGACATAAATTAGGATTGATTGACGTATTCAATTGTTTTTGGTCACTTCCTGTTTCACCGGAAATGACTACAACTTTTGATTTTTAAATGGTACCCTGGGTATTTTTTTACTTTATTTGATAGAAAATAATACTTTGAATAGAATGACATATCATATGTCAACTTTTGACATTTTTGCATAATATGGTTTATTTGAAATTATAACTTGCGGTTCGTAACGAAAATTTGACTCGAAATACCAAGTGTGTGGTACCAAATTATAAATGCTATAAAAAATGCTTTTTCCGAATATGCTAATGAGCCACCCTCGTTCCATTTGAAAAAAATGAGATATGATTAAAAATACGATTTGAGCATTTTCTAACCGGCCAGGACAAAACACTAAAAACATTAGACGATCAAATCTATTTTTCCAATGCTCCTTAATTAAGAATTAGTGTTTTTAACATAGCCATGACACAATAGATTGAATTTTAAAATGCGATTTCTTATTAAGCGAGAACGTTAAAAGTTGTCATATGATATGTCATTCTACTCAGAATGTCATTTTCTATTGAATAAAGTAAAAAAATTCCGAGGATGCCATTTAAAAATCAAAAGTTGTAGTCATTTCCGGTGAAATAGGAAGTGACCAAAAACAATGGACTTTTTCACTATATTTTGGAATTAGCATAATTGAATAAAGCAATTAATTCTAGAATTTTCTGCTATCTCACTTTCTAAAAATTTGAAGTCGTTCTTAAGAAAATAAATAAAAACAAAAATGACCAGAATAAAAATCCGCACTTTATTTTTAATACGTCACACCTGGCATGTTGAAAAGCGGCAACACGGCTGCGGCCGGGCCACCATGCTGACCCACCACCACCTCCACACAAGGTCATTCAACCTTTTCCAATATGGCGGAGATAGAAGTGCTTTATTTGGCGCGTATTTTAAAACGTGTTTTATTTCCAAATAGACATTTTTCACACAAATGTCGGGTTAGATTACGTAATATTTCACTAATTTTTTAATATACAGGGAGTCTAAAGTTCTCCACATAAGTATTGAATTTTTTGTATTATTACTTTTATGAAAACATCAGTTAGTTACTTTTTATAAAAAGGTTTGCTTTCTTAGAAAATAGGTAGTGTTAAAATATTCAAACTTGAGGTAGCATATATAGGGTGTTCAAAATCATCGGAAAAAGAAATAACCAGAAATATATGACAGAAAATAGCAATATAAACTAAATATTCAATTGCAAACACTTACCTACCATAGTTTAGAGTTTACTGAACGTTTGATAAATATATACTATTATGGACAGTATAGGAAGTTACTTGTCTTAGTAAAAGCCTTGGTAAATGCTCTTGGAATTATAAACTACACTGGCTTGGGTCAAAAAATATGGAATATTTTTCTATGTTTTGCAGCATTACACAAATGGGAATAAATTTAAACTATAATAGGTGAGGATAAATAAAAAATATAATATGCGTTTCAAGATTTTATATAGAAAAAAAAACTAAATACCTTTTTGGGGCTTCGTAAGTAAAACTTACGCTTAGCTTAGTTTTCTTTACTCTTTCTCTTTACATAGGGCATTGTCTTTGTGGTAAAGACGTCATTCATTTTTTTGTATAGTTCTTCAATAAAATATTGGATATTCTGTACAAGATGGATTTAATAATAAATTCTGACGTATGTGAGGGGCAATTGTGTCCTAAAAAAAGACTTACATCCAGGCCATATATACATTGACATTTTCAAATGTCAATGTTGTCAATATCTTTCTGTAATATTTTTGATGTAAAAAGATTGATTCTTCTTCCAATATTTTACTTATAGTGACGTAAGTGTAAGCAGTAGCCATAACTACATCCTCACTAGGGTAACAGAGACTTTGGCCTTTGGCCTTTTTGAGGCATATTTAATGCACTTCTTACCCAAGAACTACTAGTAGGAGTGAAATTATCTCTTTTAATAGCTGTCAACCATTTTTTACGAAGCTCGTCATTTTTGGCATGTAAAAGGCATGCTACAATAAAATGTTAATACCTATCTTTTGATTATTGTAAGTAACCATTATAAAGTACTATGCAGACTGGCGGCGAAGACTTTTTACTCATTTAGGTGTAATATCTTGATAAACACTTCTAGTTCTTACCTTAAAATAATTAATAATAGAGGAGTACGACCACAAAAGTTTAAAGTTTCCTTTGTGGAATGACTGCTTTGGATTTTTATTACACTGTTATTTTATCACAATTTTCTGATCACACCATGCTTTGACCATGCACTGAACACTAAGAACTAAACAAACGTGTTGCAGAAGCACAACAAACTAGAGATAATTAATTATTTCTGGTATGCAATCGGAACGAGAAACCACTACCGGCTTTTCAGGTTAAAGGTAAAAATTTAATAATGCGCTGCCTTCGCCGCCATATTTGCCTTGCCCATATCATGTTGTTTGGCGTTGAGTTGAGGTGGTGCTGGTCAAATCAAATCGCAATGTTGCCAGTTGTTGGCTGGCGCACGAGCACGGTTCTGCAATGTGATTGGGCGTATTTTTCATACGTCATCAATTGGCGCTTTAAAATTATTTCAAATTAAAGCAATTTTGAGGGCCTATAAAAAAATTATTCAATGTCATGGAATTATTTTTTTTGGATAAATATACTGAAAATAGTCTTCTATTTCAGATTTTGTCCTTGAATTGGGTATTTTATTTTTTGTGAAAAAGCCCATTGAATATGTCAATCAATCCTAATTTATGTCATATTTCTGCTTCTAATTGCATTTCCTTTACACTGTTTGATCTTTTATTGTTACCACTCTGACTTTAACTAGTTGAAAAAACGTTTTTTTTTTTTCTGTAATATTTTTACAGTTTTGAAATAATACAATAATATTGTTTACTTTTTTTATAAATTACCAATGTTACCGTAATATTACTGGTAATATTACCGATTTATAAATTACCGGTCATTTTACATCACTAGTTCAGACACCTTGCTATAAAATGAATAGTCGTTATTTACCAAACAGACCTTTCAAAGCCTTTAGGATATCTATTTTAACTTTGGCCTTACAGATTTATAAATTATTTCAAGATTATTTGTCGTCAAACGAGCAGGAATTATAAAATAAGATCCTTGCTTGGGCTGCTACCATTCTGCTTTATCCTGCTTCAAATCCCAACCCAGCAACACCTACCTATTTTGAGCTATTTTTGTTACTTCTATTTTGGTTGCTCACTTCCCAGTTGGCAACACATAGGAAGCGGGATCGCCAAAACTGGTTCCTGTTTGCATTGCTATACCCCTGTTGCATCCTGCTGCGAATTTCGTCCCAGCAACACTTGCTGTTTTTAAGATACAGCAAGTTTAAGTCTGATTGGTGACGTCCAGGGACGCAACTAGACATATACTTTTAGGGGGGCTCAAGTTTTTTGGGGGGGCTTAGGTCACTATAAGATAAGATTCATGTGAGGTTAAAACCAATTTTATACGACACGAACTGGTCATCCGGGGGAGCTAAGCCCCCCCTGCCCCCCCCCTAGTTGCGCCTCTGGTGACGTCCATAGCAACACAATAAAAGCAGGATGGCTGAAACAAGTTCCTGCTTTGGCTACTATAATCCTGCCTTATCCTGCTTCAAACCCCATACCAGCCACTCATCTCGTTTTTAAAATAGAATGAATCGATTGCTGGTAAGCAGTCGCACATTAAGAAAAGGAATGATTTTTTTTAACTTTATAAATTTCCTCGTAAGTTTCAGCTTAGGCTGCTATTTTTTTGCTTTATTTGCCTAAAATATGCATAAGCTTCCAAGCCATAAATAATTATTCCGAACAGTTGAACAAAATAAGGTTATTTTATGTTTTAGAGTTATTTTGTGTTTTTTTAAGAAACTTTTTTTTTAGAGAAAAATATTTTTGGCGGTCAGTCTATCCTTAAATTTTTGTTTTCTACGTTTCACTCCGTGCCCTAGCGGAAAAGTCAGCAAAAAGCTTTTATATCATATAAATTGTGTAATGAAATTATAAGTTGATAGTAAAAGTGTTAAAAAAAAATATTTCCATCTTTTTAAAGCATTTAAATAAAAGCTTGTTTTAAAAGTTTTTGTCTTTTTTTTGTTTGTTTTTGTCTCTGTCTAACACATTTGAATTGGCGGTATCAATCTATCCAATATATAGCAATATATAAGATATCGAACTGAAATTCCCCAATTCCCGATTTCCAGAGTAATAAAAACGAAATTTGCTGTATTTCAAAAACGACAAGAGTGGCTGGTATAGGGTTTGAAGCAGGATGAGGCAGGATTATAGCAGCAAAAGCAAGAACTTGTTTCAGCCATCCTGCTTTTATTTTGTTACTATGTGTGACGTCACCAATCAGACTTAAACTTGCTGTATCTTAAAAACAGCAAGTATTACTGGGATGTAATTTAGAGCAGGATGCAACAGGGGTATAGCAGCGCAAACAGGAACCAGTTTTGGCGATCCTGCTTCTCATGTGTTGCCAACTGGGAAGTCAGCAACCAAAATAAAAGTAACTATAGCTCAAAATTGGTAGGTGTGGCTGTGTTGGGATTTGAAGCAGCATAAATCAGGATTGTAGCAGCCCAAGCAGGATCGTATTTATAATACCTGCTTCCAATAAGTTGCTAACTTCCCCGATCTTTAAAATACACCATATGAGAAAGTAACGCTATAAAAAGTTTTAGAACTTTTGTTGAAATTTAATAGTTTCATCAGTCCTAAAACCTACGGCAAGCACTTGGAAGACCAAAAACATAAGCAACGAGAGGTCGACTCACTAGACACTGTCAATATCAATGCCCTCCGTTTTAGCAAATCGCTGCGTTGCCAGCTGTGCGACGTAATCTACACGCAAGGCCAACTTTGTGAAGTCGACGAAGAGGGTGTGACGAAGATGGCCACCACCTATGTGAACTTGCTGCGTTGCCAGCAATGCGACGTGATTTATATCGGAAACGAAGTCTACGCCGCTCATATCCAGGGTACCCAGCACCAAAGGACGACGCTAGAGTACACAAAGCAGGGCATACCTATCCCGCCCCAGGAGCCCGACATTATCGTAGGGGCCATCGTACGTTTTGACAGCAGGCTACGTTGCCGACTGTGCCATGAGACCTTCGCCCGCAACGACGACTACGTCAGACACATCCGAGGCCGCAAGCACCACAAGGTCACGCTGATGTATATCAAGATGGACATGCCCATACCTCCGCAGGTGCCGAAAATTATCGTAGGGATGCGCGAGTCAGGTGAGCAGCCGGAGAATTTGACGATGTTGGCTCCAGCGTTGGACCCCATCATTTACAGCCGTGCTGTAAACTTTCTGCGTTGCCAGCTGTGTCACACGACCTGTAACGCTAAAAAAGACTACCACGCGCACATCCAGAGCTTCAAGCACGAGAAGATGAGGCTGCTGTACACTTGGCTGGGTATGCCTATCCCGACGGAGGATCCCGAGGTTACCGTAGCGTGGCGAAGGGCCAGGGAGTACCAAAAAATAAAGAAAAAAAACGTCAAATTGGTGCAGTCGGAGAGTTTGACGCAGACTGATACCTCGATGGCCACCGCCAATGTAGGGGAGCCAGACAGTTATTGCGTGACTGGAGTTCAGGAGGTAGCTGTGGCACAGGAGGCTGCGCCGGACAGCAAGGAGGAAGATGTGTCCGATGGGATTCCTGACCCGGACATACAGTCCCCCGGTCAAGATTATATAGAAGAGATCAAGAATGGCAAGGTTAGTAGCAGAGCTGCAACAAGTCAGTTTTAAAAAAACTTCTCTCAAAAGTCGTTTCTAAAATCAAACTGATTTAAGTCTTAAGTCAAATTCAATATAAAGTTCAAATTATTTAAATCTTTGACTTAAATTATTTTATTTCAAGTCAAGTCATTTTTGTAAAGACTTAAATCAATATAACGTTATTTAAGTCGTTTTTGTGGCTCTATATTTTTGGCTTAAGTCATGATGATCTACAAATTAAGTCAGTAAAATTACTAAAATCAATATAATTACCCTCAAGTCAAGACAACCAGAATTCAATTTAAGTACCTTTTTTAAATGTTAATATTAATTTTCTTGTATTACCAATTAGGCGATTTTCTTACTAAGTATCATAATATTAATTTATTGAAGGTGCAGATGAGACTAAAACCACATAAAATAAAACGGTTACTTTTCAGGACAACTACAAACACAAAAATATGTTTTTTTTTTGTAAAATTTAATCGATTTTGTAAGTACTTTATATGTATGTAATCCATTACAGTATAGATGTCATCGAATACATGTTTATTAAAAAGGGGTGATGTGTTTTCATCACTATATAATATATCGATGGCATACATACATATACATACTGCCATTAAGAGCTTTTCTTTGACTGAAAAGCCCGATACGTGATGTTATCTGCCTACCGCACTCCGGACATTCAAAAATCTCATTGCTTTGTTGCCTCTTTACTTTTTGGTTGTCGCTGTTAACTGAGTTTACAATTCTTCTCCATTGAGTTCTATTATGAGCTGCTTCTTCCCACTCATTCTGCATGTTAATCCCCTTTAAGTTTTCTTGGAAAATGTCCTTGTATCTTTTGAGTTGTCCACCCGGCCTCCTCTTACCGTCTACAAGCTCACCGTAAAGCTGAGATTTTGGTATGCGGTTTTCTTGCATTCTGCATACGTGTCCAGCCCATTTTAAGCGTGATTTTGTAAACATGACTTCAATACTCTCGCAGTTAGTTTTTTCAAGAACCGATACGTTTGAAGCATGATGGAACCATCGGATTCTTAAGAGTTGTCTAAGGTGTCTCTGTTGCAACTTGTTTAATGCCTTTATGTGTCGGCGGTTTGTAGCATGGTGAGGATTATAATTGCTCGGTACACTGCAAGTTTCGTTTTTGTACTCAAGTCATGATTGTAGAAAACCCTGTCTTTTAATTTCCAGAATGCTCTTAAGGCACTGCTAATCCTGTGCTGAATTTCAGAGTCGATATTGGCCTTTTCCGAGATCAAACTGCCGAGGTAATTGAATTCCGCTACATATTCCAATAGTCCTTCTCCGATTTTTATAGCATTGTTGTGATCTTCCGGGGGACATGCACATGATTTTGGTTTTGTCGATGTTTAGCTTAAGTCGCAAAGCCTCGTATGCCCAGGGCCAGGTATATGTGTCCAACATTTCTTGTAATTGTTGTAATGTGTTTGCAACTAGAGTGCAGTCATCAGCGTATTGAAGTTCTGTGATAAATTTTGTACGTGTTTTTGCCTTAAGTCTTTTTATGTTGAACAAACCGCCGCGCCGGCGCCGTCGCGCGTCTTATCTGGATCTCATGGCCATCAATGGCATAAGCTAAGGGCTGGAGAATTTTAAGGTACTCTTCAATATATTCGAGATAAATTTCTTTCGATCGTCTTTCGGTCTACATAACGTCGGGGATTTACTTAAAAGACAACAGACTCACTACGCACGCGTAACACGACAAATCATCAAAACAGTTTCCAAAAAACTAACGTTTTACTTACTAGTGTTATTGAGCTTTGTTTTTTTAATCTGCTGCTTTGTTCCCGCCTAACAGTTTAAAAAGGAATGGTGCTGACTAAAAAAAATGCCTTTTATAAAAAGAGTTAAATATTTTTAATGATTTCAGTCTTTTATAAGAAGACTTAAATCTTTTTCCATTTCAAAATAAAGATTTAAATCACAAATAATTTCGAAAAATGACTTAAAATCAAATGACTTAAGTCATTAACATGATTAAAATCAAAAAAAGAAGTTTTTTGTGGGCTTGCAGCTCTGCTTAGTAGTAGAGCTTTCAATTTTTTCTTTGCCTATTTCTTTTTTCTTTTTGTAGGTGATTATGTTCAACTGCAAACTATGTGAGTGTCATTTCAAAGTTCCTGACGCCAAAAAGATGCACATGACGAGTCGCAGACATGAGCTCCAGTACAAGAAAAAAGTGAATCCTGACCTGATCGTTGATGAAGATTATCTATGGGTTGATGTCAAGTCGTCCTTGAGTGACAATAATTTCCGGGAAGATAAGGTGCGTAGAGCTGTAATTTTTCTCACCTAAAAATATTACACTCAGATTAGTTCAGTCATTGGGGATTTTTGCTTGGAAAAAAGTCCGGAAGTTTTGCAACTTTGTAGGTTTATAGGTTTTGGGGTCCCTAACTAAAATCCATAAAATGCACATTTCCAGACTTGCCGCCGGCGCCGCCATCTTGCCAAGATGGCGCCCAAAATCGGTATTTTGTGAATATCTCGAAAACTATGCATTTTTCGCGAAAATTTGAGGAAAGCAAAATTAAAGAGAATAAAGAGAAAATTTTCGCTAAAGTCAACCGTTTAGGCACAAAATCCCTGGAAATTTTACAATTTTGCGTAAAATATGATATATTATGTATAGTCGATTTTTCGGAATCAAATGTCGATTAGGGTTCACTAAAACTAGTTTTAGTTTAGTTTTTTCAATTTTGTCATAAAACAGTGGCGTCTCATTAATTCGCTCATTAATTTATGAATAATTAATTTTAATTACTGAAAATGTGTACTTGTTTCCAACCAAACCACTCAAGAGGTAAAGTATATGACGCGTTTATTTTAACGTGGTCTCCCCGGAGGCCTACTTCACTAGATAAATTAAAAACTTTAACTTATCTGCACAAACCCGACGGATCTGGCTCATTGATGTCAAAGTCGATCGTGTCTGCTGTGCTGGGCTCATCAGGGTGGTCTCTCAATACGTCCAACTCTTCATCTTCAGCCGCCAGAGGGATATCTACAGACAAGTCGAACTCCTCTTCATCGGATTCGTCGAGTGACACTTCAGTGACGCTGTCACAGGATTTCCCATTGCAGTATGCACAAATCGCATTTAACATTTTAATCCTGCTTTTCTGCGTCCGCCGGCTTTACCATAGTGGTTGGTTTTGCATTTACAGGATAAAAATGCCAACAGGGATTTTGGAGCTAGATCTTTCAACGTTGTGACTGGAGTAATGCCTGTTTTTGTTTTCTTCCAACCCCATTCTTCGGCATCTTTGGTACAACCAGACCAATGCTGAACCTGGTGGTAATGAATGCTGGTGGTAATGAATGGTCGCAATGAATGCTGTCCAGGACGACAATTAATTATTCATAAATTAATGAGCGAATTAATGATACGCCACTGTTTCATGACAAAATTAAAGAAACTAAACTAAACCTAGTTTTAGTGAACCCTAATCGACATTTGATTTCGGAAAATCGATTATACATAATATATCATATTTTACGCAAAATTGTAAAATTTCCAGGGATTTTGTGCCTAAACGGTTGACTTTAGCGAAAATTTTCATAAAACCTTTTTTATAGGAAATTTTATTCTCTTTAACTCTTTCCTCAAATTTTCACGAAAAACGCATAGTTTTCGAGATATTCACAAAATACCGATTTTGGGCGCCATCTTGGCATGATGGCGGCGCCGGCGGCAAATCTAAAAATTCTGGTGCATTTTATAGATTTTAGTTAGGGACCCAAAAACCTATAAACCTGCAACGTTTCAAAACTTCCGGACTTTTTTCCAAGCAGGCCCCTTTTTTGATCCCCAATGACTGAACTAGATGCAAAAAACACGGAGAAATTTTTGGTCAAAAATTTAAAGTGGTATATTTTTGTTATTTTTAGCCCTATTTTCATGGATTTTTTAGCAAGCTCTATATAATATATAGTATTTGGCATATTATACAGGGTGAATCGAGGGGTAGTTTTTTACCCTAACTTTATTAACACTATGTGCAATAATTTCTTTTGTAAATTTTTCTAAAATATAATTTTACGGTCAGAACCATGACTCCTGAGCATTTTGTTTTTTGATTCATATCAATACATGCTTTGGTTAATTTTTAAGAGTGAAATGAACTGATAACGATTAATTTGCAATTTTTTTAAATATCATTACTTTTTGATGTTCCTAATTTTTTATTATGACGAAATGGTTTTGGTGACTATCGTTGTAATGTCATATTACACTGCATTGGATACTCTATACTAAATTAAAAAAAAAACGTTAAAGATTATGAGACAGTTCGGGTTTTAATAAACATTAATAATGATAACCAAACTAACGGTATTAAAGAAAATATCTGTAGTAATACTCAAGTAAAACAAAGAAAAAAAATTGTAAAAAATACCCTAATACTTTGTATTATTGCCATCCTTGGCTTCTATAACAGCCTGTATACGTCCGTTCATAGTGTCACTGAGGCGGCATATATAATATTTTGTTATGTTTTCCCATTCTTCTTTAAGGACCAAGCGAAGTTCGTTTAATGAAGCTGGTACTGCTTCGCAACCTCTAACCCTCCTTGCCAAACGTCGAACATGATGGACATTTCATAGTAGTATATAGTTCACAATAATCACCAAAGCCGCCTTGTCACATTGAAAAATAACTTCAAAAAAGGAGTGACAATTGAAAAAATTGCAAATTGTTGATTGGCATAAGATCGAAATGGCAAGCTCATTTCGCTGTTAAAAATTAACCAAGGCATGTATTGACGTGATCCATAAAACAATATGCTCAGGAGACATGGTCCTGACCGTAAAATTAAATTTTAGGAAAATTTACATATGAAACTATTGCACAGGGTGTTTTAAACTTAAAGGGCAAAAAAACAACCCTTCGAATAACCCTTTATAATTTGCCAAATACTAAAGTTTATAAAAAACTGAGTTTACGAATATAAGGTGATATAATTATATACAGATTGCTAAAAAAATAATGAAAATAACGCCATAAATAACAAAAAAACAACACTTTAATTTTTCCTCAAACCTTTTTTTTAAACAAAAATTTTTCCGTTGCGTTTTTTTTGCATCTTTGTGTAGAAAAAAAAACAAGATAAACTTTGTACAGTCGGGGGGTTTGGAGGCTAGCCCAAGTGAGTCTGACAGTAATGGTGAGGCTACGCTGAATGAGGACGATACGGACGAAGATAGGATTTCTAGACCGGACATCCAAGCCTCTAATCAAGATTGCATTGAAGATATCAAGAATGACGAAGGCAAGGTTAGTAGTAAAAGTCTAAGAGCTGGCAACGTTTTCGAGAAAGTATTTTAAGACGTCTGGCTCTTTGATATATCTATTACTATGCTCTCTGGAACAGCATGCGGCCCGTCTGGCTGCCGATACCCGTTGCGTTCACTACTGCGCATCGGAAGAAGATCCTATATTTTATATTAATTTAGTCCAATAAATTCTAGTATTGAATATAGATCGAACATGTCTCCATAGCGCAGTGCGTAGAGTTTCCGACCACGAACCGATGATTCAATGAGTGTGAATGAGTTCGAATCCGGGTCAGGGCAAAGACTTTTTTTATTTTATTATCGTTTATATCCTGATAGTAAAGTATTAAATAATTCTGGTAATTAAAAAAAACAAATATTTAATACTTTACTATCAGAATATAAATGAAAATAAAATAAAAAAGTCTTTGCCCTGACCCAGATTCGAACTCTCAATCATCGGTTCGTGGTCGGAAACTCTACACACTGCGCTATGGAGACATGTTCAATTTATATTCAATACTAGAATTTAAAGGACTAATAAAAATATAGGATCTTCTTTCAATGCGCAGTAAGGAACGCAACGTTTACCGGCAGCCAGACGGGCCGCATGCTGTTCTAGAGAGCATAGTAAAAGATATATAAAAGAGCCAGATGTCTTAAAATACTTGTTTTTCCGACGTTGCTAGCTCTCGTACTATAAGTTTCTATTTTTCTTTGAATATACGGTCCGGCAATAATGCGTCGGGCATCCGTAGCTCCTATATAGAATAAAAAACTTGGGAATTTTGTTTAAGTGCATATCTAATGTATGAATTACAGTAAAAGTGGGAAATCAGTGATTGCTAACAGCTAGTAAAATCTCACCCCCCCCCCTCCATTCATTGATTTGCTAAGACTACGCCAGTAAAAGTTCAACACCTATTTTTGAAACCAACTTTTACTACCTAGTGAATGTTGTCTCTAGTATAATTGTTTTGTTATCGTTGTAAAAAGTGTTTTCCGGTATTTTCCTTATGGAGGTAATTTTCTGTGAAAAATTAAGGTAAACTATATAGGCACTCGCAAGAATGTAATAGTGCTTGTTTTTCATTTTTGCAATATAATGAAGTCATAGCAAAAGTTAAGCGCGCAAGAGAAAATTATATTAAGGAACCTAGTGACTATGAACTTATTAAACGTTTTCATATGCTTGATGTAGCGGGTTTGAAAAAACGAATAATTCCCGTTGAAGAAAATTCGGGCATATTTTATTTTGTCCACGATATAGAACTTTAGTAAAAAAAAACCTTGTACCAATAAGTATTAAGCCGCGTCCAAGCTAGGCGAACAAAATGTTTATGAATGTTTTTTTTTAATTTATTTTCTACCCTTTATAATGTTTACTGCTTTCCCTTTTAATATTTAGAAGGTTATGTCGTTATTTTCTATAATTTTTAATAAATATACTAAAGAAGTAAATTGTAATTTTAAGATAAATGTGGATCAGCTTGAATATTGAGGTGATTCAATATTCTTAAAAGGTTTATTTGTGCTAACTTCCACCAACATTCTTCCTCACCACACTCGCCTTGTACAATAGAATAACTTTTACTGGCAACCTTTAGTAAATGTTACTTTCGCTAGTGAATGTTAGAAATTACTAGGAAAAGTCGACAAACCTCTTTAAAATACCACATTCACTGGTTCAATGCGTAATTGTTAGCTTTTCCTAGTGAATGTTAACAATCACTGAATTTCCGACTTTCACTTCGACAGGGTGGCTCAAAAAAGTGTGAGTGGATTGGGGTGATTTTTTTTAATAAAACACCCTGTATATTATTGCATTTTTGGCTTCCTTTCAGATCACTTTACATAATCTTAAGATATGAGTAAATATATTTCGATAGTTTCAGTGATATTAATAAATAAATAAAAAAATCATATTTTTGAGTCTTTCTTAAAAAAATTATTAAAAATACATGAACTGTCCTGAAATCAAAACTACCTATATTAGGTATTTACTTTAGATGGTCTGTACTTACTTTGCTATAAATATTGTAATCTTAAATCATACAGGATGTTCAAAATTCTACGCCAAACTTTCTAAAATATAAAATAATTTTTCTTACTTTTTTTAACACCCTGTATGTTTATTTTTTTAATGGACGGAAAATTAAAAAATTAACATTTTTTGTATTTAGAGTAGTGATGTGTCGGTATTTTAGTAACGCGATTTTGGAGCGGTATTTTTTTGTAACGTCGTGTCGCGCTCCACAACGAATCAGGGACCTGTTACTGAAGAACGACGATTATAATGACGACAAAATTATAAATTATTTACAATTTGCAAATAAATTATTTATAATCGCACTTGAAGTTAGCTCGAACCGTAGTAACCCGCATAGCAACGTGTTTAGCTCCAGCCGTCGCGATTTCGTCGGTCGCCAACAGTAGTATCTGGAACTGGTATGCCCGTAGCGCCGCGCGATCTCGATAGGGACGTGTTCGCTCCAGCCGTCGCGCTCCTAGAGTTGTAGTTCCCTGTCGCCAACAGAAGTAACTGCTGTAACTGGGCATCGACGCTCGACCTCGGCGGCGACCTACTTCACTCCAGCCGTCGCGCTCCTAGAGTTTTAGTTCCCTGTCGCGAACAAAAGTAACTGCTGTAACTGATTATTTATCGACGCTCGACCTCGGCGGTCACGTACTTCGTTCCAGCAGTCGCTGGAGCGCTTCTAGATTTTCGGTTTTGCCTGTCGCGATTTGGTCGGTTACTATTGGCGTTGGTGCTCCCGTCGCTACGTTACTTTCGAAATAGCGATTTTTGGTATGTACTAGGCATGGTATAAAATAGTGTTGTTTGAAAGATGAAACGCAAAAGCAAATAAAATAAAATAAATATATTTTATTTGCTTTTATACATTTATATAAGTTTTATTGTTTATATCTATTTTTAAAGCTAGGTTAGACCAATGAACAATTTTTTTTGACAGTGGTCTGGACTTTGTTCTTGATTTTTATATTAAATATATTATATTGCAATACACATAAATATGAGCCGTTCATTTTATTTAAACGAAAATTGATAAAGAAAAAAATAACAAGGAATGTCATCGTTTTTCTAAAAATCAGATAGATTGGCTATACACAATTATAAACTCGATATTTGGAAAATGAGTGGCGGATAAAATAAGTTAGGTATATTTTTAGCGAGGACCGCAACACTGGAAGTCGGAACCTCGGTTACAAAATCACGGTATTCTGTCGCGGTATTTTTCTGGAATGGTCGCTATTGTAACGCGACTCACGTGGAACCGGTATTCCCATCACTAATTTAGAGTATCTCAAAATTTTTAACGGTTTCTCAGATATTCGTGATTTTATATTTCATATGGCATTTTCGACAGTAAATTTTTATCAACGCCACCCAATGATGTTTCTCTCGTATTTTACCCTTGAAAAAACCATATGAAATAATATTTCGAATATCTGCGAAGCCCTTAAAAATTTTGAAATACTCTAAATTTATTTAAATTTTGAAATACTCTTAATAAAAAAATGTTCATTTTTTAATACCCCATCTAATAAAAAAATAATATACAGGGTGTTCCTTTTAAAAATACGAAGAAACATTATTTTATATGTTAGAAAGTTTGGCGTAGAATTTTGAACACCCTGTGTGATTTGAGATTACGATATTTATAGCAAAGTAAGTATAGGCCATCTGAAATAAATACCTAAAATAAGTTTGGATTTCAGGACAGCTCACGTATTTGTAATATTTTTTTTAGGAAAATCTGAAAAATATATATTTTTTATTTATTTATTAATATTTTTGCAACTATCGAAATATATTTACTCATATCTTAGGATTATATCAATTACATTTAAAAAAATCATCCCGATCCACTCACACTTTTTGGAGCCACCTTGTAGAAGTTAAAATATTTTCCTCAAATAAACAAAATTGCACTTAAACAAAATTCCTATGTTTTTATTCTAGGAGCTACAGGTGCCCGACGCACTATTACCATAGTAAAGGGAAAAGAGTAGTTGCACTCTCCCAAATATTTTCTGCCAGTTTTTACAATCTGTCGAATATCGGCAGATATTGCAGAGCGTTTCAGTTGAGTTCCGTCCGTCGACCTGCGAGGTTCGAGCGTTGCGTCCCAGCACAGAGACGGATTGACAAAAATGAGTGCCTTACTGTGTGCTGCTATTGGTTGTAGTAATATTTCAAAAAATTGTGCTTTGAGTTTTTTTTGAGAGTCCTTTGTGTTCAGTTTAACTTTCTCATGACTTGATTACTACTTAATAATTTGATATTATATTCATTTAAACCTCAATTTTTTATCGATTTTACTTTTGACAACCATCCCTTGCTTGTTGTTTAACGAACTGCACCATCATTGAACAAAAATTTGCTAGTACCGAAAGTACCGAAAAAAAATGGAAATCCCGGTTCCTTAGAGGCATGGTACCGAAATTACCGGTGCCGAAAAACAGCTTCGATTCCGGAAGCTCTATAACGTACCATAACCGTGAATCGCCCTATACAGGGTGAGTCTTAAATAAGTGAAAATATTTTTAGGGGTAGTATATTTTGGCCCCAGAAATATAATGATTTTTCTGCGCAATTTATTTTTTCGAAAAAAAATCTGGAAATTTTTTTAGTTTTTCGTTAAAAAACGTAATTTCTTGATAATATGGAAACAAGGGCTGAAAACCGGGAAATTCTTCGGGACTCGGTAACAATAACAAAAAAATTATTCTTTTTTTACGTGAGAAAGTAGTTATGCTATTTCTCATTGTTCTTGCTTCTTTTCTCTTTTGAAATTTCTGTAATGTTTATTAACAATTATTGAAGTTTAAATATGTTATTATATTATTTAGTACAATGTGTTGTTCAATGTATTAGTTATCCAATGAAAATCACCTAACCATTATTATTACTACAAAACAAACACATTAATGTTAAAATTAAACTTGTTTTAAATTTTAAAAAAATTCTAGAAAATCTTTGAAATAGATAATAATATAAAAATATGTCATTATATATTTTGTCCGCATTTCTTCCTATCAGAAGATTTTCAGATACAGAAGAATTGTTACTTACACGAAATGTGAAAATATTCTGTTTTCAAGCAAATTTTTACTCGATGATCAATTTTTTTATTTTATTTTATTGTGAACTCATATTTTCCTAAATACATCTCTGTGAAACTATGGCAAGTGCCATGACTATACTTTGCCTACTTACAGACCACGACTATACAGCTACGTCAGTGGTCACGGGACCACAACGGGACGCGAGAACAAGGTCATATAAAGTGACAGAAAAAGAACAAAGGATTTGACAAGGAGTAAAGCTACTAGTTTCCTTATACTATGCTATTACCGCGGACCCTATATTTTTTTTGTTTCTATAGGTAATTGGTTTCAATTGCAAACTGTGTGAGTTTTATTTCGACGTTCCTGACGCCAAGAAGATGCACATGAAGGGGCGCAAGCATAGGCGCCAGTACAAGAAAAAAGTGAATCCTGACCTGGTGGTTGATGGTAAAACCGAAGAAGAGTTGCAAAGTTCTTGTTCCGTTCTGTAAATGATTAGTCATTCATTAAGTTTCAATTGCAAACTGTGCCAGTGTTATTTCAACAAAATAGCGATGCACATGAAGGGATGCAGACATCGGCTCTGATACAAGAAAGAAGTGAATCGGCATTACTGACCTCTGTGACCCTATTCTTCACCACTACTTGCATCTCCGAGAAAGCCATATACCTCTAACTGTGCCTATAATAAAAGTATTTTAAATGTATTTGTGTGTGGTGTGATCTTATATGTATATTAATGTATTGTAATTATTGTTTGTATCAAAAAAGTAACGTTAATATTTACTTCAGATACTCTCTACAAAAAAAAACAATATTTTAAACATGATGTTTTGTACTATGGTACATAATATGTCTTATATTTTTCTCTCTTAGTTAGGTATATATACAGGGTTGTTCACCACATACGACACGGAGTATTGTGGCTAAACGATGATATTTTTACAAATTGTAAGTTTGGGGTTCGTTGAAGGACTATTAGAGCTACAATTTAAAAATATTTTTACAAGATACAGAGTGTATCTATATAAATATCAAAGTTGTATTTTTTTAAATGGAACACCCTGTATATTATTACATTTTTAGTTTCTACGATTAAAATAAAGGTAAATTTGATTAAGGTTTATTATACTTAAACCTTACCGTTTTTGAAATATTTTCAATTTTGTGAAATTGCAGTAAAAATTTTAAAGCTTCATTTCTCCAAGGGTATCAATATTTTTAATACTAAATATTTAATGAAGTTTATTTATTGATCAGTTATTGTGTTGCAATAATAAAAATAATACTACCTTATACAGAGTGTCTAAAAATGTATTTTAAATAATTATTAGCTTCAAACGGCAATAACTTCTTTAATTTAAATGGAATGCCCTGTATATTTTAGGAGAATCAGATGCACAATTAAATTGTCTATCCAATTGTATTATACCATTTTTTACCTATCCCTTCAAGTTTTCGTAGAAAATGCATTTTCTTTTAATTTAGAGCTCATTTATCAATATATCCATGGAATATTGACATTTTAGATTGTTTTTAAAGCAACAAATGTACAAAATGTACAGACTAGTAATATTATCGTTTTTAGCAAAACGATAATATTACTAGCCCATTTGTATGCAAAAAGACAACTATTTAAATCTTTATAAAAGAGTATACCATTAATTAAATATAACACCATTATTTCCGCCCATATACTAATTAATTACATACTTAATTGTGTTCGTTAATAAATTATTATAAATAAATGTGGATTTGAGTCAGAAATCAATATAATAATAAGTTATCAAATTAAAGTCTCTGTTGTTATAAATAAGCATTTATTAAAAAATGAAATATCATTTTTAAGGTGTTACTTTTTATCACACTGTCTAATGCCCATACAAAATTCAGTTTTTTAGTATTTGGAGCAATTATTATTAATCAACGCAAACAGTCAGTTAATATAGTTTGAATACTGGAATCATATTAATTGATCCTCTTTAACAAATATTTAAACAGTTTTTTTTTATTTTTTAATGAAATAAACGAATTATATCGACAATATTAGTATCTGTACTCTTTAAAAATTTGGTACATCTTTAAAAATAATCTAAAATGTCAATAGTCCATAGGTATATTGATAAATAAGTTTTAAATTACAAGAAAATGCATTTTCTACGGAAACTTAAAGAGATAGGTAAAAAATGGTATAATATAATTTGATAGACAATTAAATTGTGCATCTGATTCTCGTAAAATATAGAGGGTGTTCCATTTAAATTAAACAAGTTATTGCCGTTTGAAGCTAATAATAATTTATAATAAATTTTTAGACACTCTGTATAAGGTAGTATTATTTGTATTATTGCAACACAATAACTGATCAGTAAATAAACTTCAGTAAATATTTAGTATTAAAAACTTTGATACCCTGGGAGAAATGAAGCCTTAAAAATTTTACTGCAATTTCACAAAATTGAAAATATTTCAAAAACGGTAAGGTTTAAGTATAATAAACCTAAATCAAATTTACTTCCTTTACTTTAATCGTAGAAACTAAACAATTTGTAAACATCTTATCGTTTAGCTACAATACTCCGTGTCGTATGTGGTAAACAACCCTGTATATATATATACAGGGTGATTCCTGTAAGTTGGTCATGCTTTAGGGGAATGATGGGGGACGTCGAAATATTAATTTTGATATAGCACACTATGGATCGGAAATGCATCTTACTCAAGATACAGATGAGGGTGTTAAAGTTTTTGAAAAATTAAAGATATTCTTTAATAGTTTTTTAACAGTTGAAGGTATCGCTATAAAATTTTATTATAAGAGTCGACTTAACAGAGGCACTTTAAATGTAAAAAGAAGAGGTTTTAGTTTGAACCAGTGGCGTAGATGTGATACGCATCGGGTAATTTTTTCAAAAGAAAATAGTACGCCACTGATAAAAATAAAAATTTCGGAGTTTTTTATTTGTTTGGTTTATTTCCAAGAAAAAATGTCTCTTGCAACTTTCTCCTATCTAACACCATTTTGTCACAATTTAAAAATAAATATTTTTTTTAATGAGAACTTTAAATATGCGAATTGTTATAACTTGGTTATAACCAAACGAAACCATAAAACTAAGAATTTTATTATTAACAATAAAAAAATTCTAGTTTAAATTTATAATTTTTTTAAAAATTTATTTAAGGAGCTAAATCTTGGCCAATTTAAATTCATATGTAAGTGATGAAGAGCTGACGATGCATATGTATTTTCTGCCCTCTAGTTATAATAATTCGCTGTATTTAACATTGTCATTAAAAAATGTATTTACTTTTAAATTGTGACAAAATGGTGTTAGATAGGAGAAAATTGCAAGAGACAATTTTGCTTGGAAATAAACCGAGTGAATAAAAAGCTCTAAAAATTATATTTTTTATCAGTGGCGTACTATTTTTTTTGGAAAAATTACCTGTTGCGTATCACATCTACGCCACTGGTTGAAACTAAAATCTCTTCTTTTTACATTTAAAGTGTCTCTGTTAGATAGACTCCTATAATTAAATTTTATAACGATACCTTCAACTGTTAAAAAACTATTAAAGAATATCTTTAATTTTTCAAAAACTTTAATACCCTGTAACTTGCGTAAGAGGAATTTCCGACCCATAGTGTGCTATATTAAAATTAATATTTCGACGTCCTCTATTATTCCCCGAAAGCATGACCGACTTACAGGGATCACCCTGTATATGTTTCAATTATATAAATTATAAAAAATATATAAATTTTTATATTTTTACTGCAAATCGTGGCAAAACCTTTACTAATAAAAAAAGAATAAGACAAATAATGTGTTTTGTTTTCAAAAAAATTTATAATTATTTCATATATTATATGAACATTGATTTTGGGTATACCTAGATAGAGCTTGACAAAACAAAAAGTTGGAATAATAAGAGCTTTATTTATTGATGTCTGATTTAAAATATATACTAGGTACTATTAGCGTGTACCGGCGACTTCGTTCGCGTCGAATTAATCATTTGTAATGGTGATGATAAAGCAAAGCAAGAATTACCATTAACATATACAAACTGGATAAAAAATTTTCACATTTGTGTCAACATGAGAAAGAACAATATGGCGATATTATTATATAACTTGGTAATATTTGAGGGGTAGTTTCATCTCGTTGGAATTTGACTTTCGAAAAATCCGTTTGCCAAAAATAAACTTTTTACGTCAAGCAGTTTAAGCAGAATCGTGGTTAAGAAATTACCCAACTTTTTGGAACACCCTGTATGATTTTTTAAAAAATTTCAAAATATGTAAAAAAACAAAATAAATTATGCTTGTCCAAGCGTTTTCCCGAAAGACTAACCGTTTTTTAAATAACAAATATTATAAAATTTGAGGGGCGTTTTCACCCACTTGGAATTTGAGGTTCGAGAAACCCTTCCTTATCGAACATCTACACCCCACAGTCAATCCGTTTGCCAAAAATCAACTTTAAACGTCAAGCAGTTTAAGCAGAATCGTGATTACTCAATGGTCATATTTTATGAAACACCCTGTATAAATTTATAAAAAAATCTTAAAATATGTAAAACAACAAAATAAAATATACGTGTTTAAGAGTTTTTCCGAAAAACTTTTTTTTTAAATAAAAAATATTCTAATATTTGAGGGATAGTTTCACCCCCTTAGAATTCGAGTTTCGAAAAATCCCTTCTTATCGAACCTCTACACCCTAAATTCAATCTATTTTCCAAAAATTCAGCTTTTTACGTCAAGCGCTATAAGCAGGATCGTGATTAATCAATGACCAAATTTTTCGAAACACCCTGTATACATTTTTAAAAAATCTTAAAATATGTAAAAAACAAAATAAAATATACGTGTTTAAGCGTTTTTTCGGAAACTTGACAGTTTATTAAATAAAAAATATTGTCATATTTGGGGGGTGGTTTCACCCCCTTGGAACTGGAATTTCGAAAAATCCCTTCTTATCGAATCTCTACACCCTAGAATCAACCTGTATGCCAAAATTGAGCTTCTTATGTTGAGTGGTTTGAGCAGGATCGTGATTAATCAGTGAGTCACTTAAGGATTTTATATATTAGTATAGATAGGTAAAAGCTTCATATATTATCATATCTGGTTTTGACTCACCAAATGGTGATTTTCGGAATGCGCTTCCTCAGAAATGCCATCGTTAAGCACTAAGCACTTAAAACTTACAGCTTTGTATTTAAAAAAACCAATAAATTTAGTGTGAAAATATATTGTAATAACCCTGTATAACGGTGAAAATATTTTTAAATCGTGATCTATTATTATTACGCCCTTATAGAAAACTCAATATGAAACTTTTTTCTCAACACTGGGCCGCCCTATAAAATATTTATGTTCCAATCAGTAAAGAAAGAAGAACTATCGATATCACTTTGTATCGATACTTTACAGCCGCATAACTTCAAAAAGTAGTTCGTTTGAACCAGTTGCTTAAAATTTGAAATATGATACATCCCTACTTTGCTGTAACTTTAACCTCAAATATTTATTATTTAATAAAAAGTGTATTTTATTTTCAGCTTTTTGCATTATTTAATAGCTACACATTATAAACTGTTAAGTAGTAAACAACATGAATATATCTAGAGTTTTATCCAAACAGTAAGCCCTTTATTTTTACACTTTTTCGCCACCTGCAACTGAATTTTATTTATTTAGACATCACCAGCTCCGACGAATTAAACTATGGACTTATTTATTTTCTACGAGTGCCGAAGAGAAAATCGAATTACCAAGGAGAATTCCCAGAGGTCCAACAGATATATTAAGAGCCCTTGAAAGCACAATTCAAAGAGACCCCACAGCCGCACATTACAAATACCACGATGATCCGTTTTTGATTCCCAAGTCGAATGCTACGAAAAGAACATATGCCATGGCTCGGGAAGCCGGTATTAATATCTTTTATTGGGAAGTAAAATTGCCTTAACTTTTCATTTATAGGTAAGAAAGCAGCTCACTGGGTTAGAAGTGAAAATCCAGAGTTGTTTAATCACAAGGAATGTGACCCACCGATTGAAGCATTTTTTCCTAAAGTTGTGTTCGACGAAAATAGCGAAGTTACAGAGGATGATTTAAAAAGAGTAATTGAGAAGAATCAAGTTTCTGATGCTATCCTTATTAACAAGCTTTTAGCAAAGCAAGGTAAAGTGTGATTAAAGCATAAAAACAAATTAATTTATATTTATATCAGAGTTAGGAGGATATATATCATGTGATATATCACAATTATGTCATGATATTTATAGCTTCGTATACAGGATGAGTCTTAAATAAGTGCAAATATTTTCAGGGCTGGTAGATCTGGATAAAAGAAACATAATAATACCGTATGATCGAAAAAAAAACAGTGTCTATCAGATTCATCTAATTCAACGTTATTTCTACTTATTTTGATTTGTAGCTAGCTGCTGCCTTAAATTTAAATATTTCTAATGTGAGTGTTAGTGGCTACTGTTAATAGATTACTAGAATATTAATTATTAAATTAAAAATATAACGTAAATATCTTTAAAAAATGATATAATTAATATATTGTTTCTAAATTTTACATTGAGATCATCTCATAAATCCAGTCACAATCTGGCAACGCTGCCGCCATCGCTTGTCACTCAAAGTTGATCAAGTGCATCGGAAGTTGTTTTTGCGACTACTTTAATTGGATATAAATACCACTTATAATACTTGCACTTATTTAGGAGACATTCTGTATATCTGATATATATCCTGAAGTGTATCATATGATATGATATTTATATAAATATTCGTGATATTTTTGAACCTTGATTTAAATATTATGTGACATACAGGTGCAGAAATATCAGCAGATACAAAACAGGGTTTACTAGAGTTATTGTGTTATAATAACGGTGATGACACATTAAATGAGGAATTTATTGAAGAGAGATGGTTCCGTCAAAGTTCTCGTATAAGAGAAAGGCAAAGAAAAATCTGGAAGTAAGCTTACATGATAGCGTAATTTTATTTTCAACATTTTTTCTCTAATAACATATACTTTCTAATAGGGACGGGCATGTAGCAGAAGAAATTTTTATAAGCATTGACAATCCAACTGCAGAAGCATACTCAGCCATTATACAGGGTATGGCCAAATATTTTCAAGTTGACAGAGCCAATCACTTATTTGAAGAAGCTCAACAGAAAGGATTAGTTTTAAATATTGATACGTATAACTCCTTAATTAGAGTAGCTAATTTTTTGAAAGAAGGATATGAACTAAGGTAATACATGTCAGTTAATATGAAACTATAAATCTAGAAAAAAAACACCGTCAAAGTAGCCTTTCAGATGTCAATTAATGATAATTTCTATCAGAGCAACATTTTCGAGGCACAACAAATTATCCAATGCAAATATGTACTGTAAAGAATATTTTTAATAGATTTCTGATCTTTTTTTAATTAAGTATTAATTTTTGACAAATTCTTATGTCATTTTTTAATAAATTACATATCACTGGTTACCGTAACGCTGTTTTTTATGCGATAATACGATATAACAGAATTACCTAATTGTGCAGAAGCGGCACTAGCAATTTTTTCCTAGACCTAATTTTAAATGGATTTATTTGTCATATTTTTGGTTATAATTTTAATAACGCCTGTTTTCAAATTTTGATTAGTTAACGGTTATTAATATCGGAAATCGGAAATGAACGTGAAAAAAGTCGTGATGTAAAAAACCAGTTTTTTTACGCGTAAAAAACATTTTATGAAAAGCAAAAAAAATTTTATGCCTTAGTAAAGCTTCTTTGAAAGCCTAGTTTTCTGTTAATGGCTGTTGTAAAAATGGATACAAAGATGCGTTATTTTACATCACTGTACTACCTTCTATGAAACTTAAGATGCTACACACAGATTTGTCTTAACCCTCTTAGTTCCTGAAATGCAGGTCAAATTTAAAAATTTTACATTTTTCGACGCTCCTCGTATCTCGGTTATCCTATAACTTATCGAAAAGTTGAAAACTACGTTCCGTAAGGATTTTCCCCTAGAATCTAGTGGCGTAACTATTTTTTCGCTGAGCGCTGTGTCATTTTCCAAATATGACTCAAACCTATGTTTTTTTTAAACGGGACAGTTTGTATTATTATTTTTACTTCGTGTCTTTTTATGGGGTTTCTAAAATTATACTATACTCTATATTTACTCTTATTCTTCCATATTATGTAAGGTAATAATGCATTATATAACTTTTTATTTTACCGGGTGCGTCTCAAAAGTGGCTCACCCCTATAACTTTTTTATTTTTTCAGTTAGAAAAACGAGATTTGGTATGTTAGTATATGACATAAATTATTATTGATTGACATATTCAATTGTTTTCGGTCACTTCCTGTTTCACCGGAAATGACTACAACTTTTGATTTTTAAATGGCACTCTCTGTATTCTTTTACTTTATTGGATAGAAAATAACACTCTGAATATGACATATCATATGTCAATTTTTGTTATTTTCGCATATGATTTATTTGAAATTATAACTTCCGGTTCATACCGAAAATTTGACTCAAAATACCAAGTGTGTGGTATCAAATTATTCACAAAAATAAAATGTTTCCCAATATGCTAATGAGCCACCCTCGTTCCATTTGAAAAAATTTAGGTATGATTAAAAATATGATTTGAGCATTTTCTAATAGGCCAGTACAAAACACTAAAAACATTAGACGATGACATCTATTTTTCCAAGGCTGCTTGGTAAAGAATTAGTGTTTTTAACCCTAGATTGAAATTTAAAATACGATTTTTTATTAAGGGGGAATGTCAAAAGTTGACATTTGATTTGTCATTCTATTCCGAATGTCATTTTCTATTGAATAAAGTAAAAAAATACCGAGGGTACCATTTAAAAATCAAAAGTTGTAGTCATTTCCGGTGAAACAGGAAGTGACCAGAAACAATTGAATACGTCAATTAATCCTAATTTATGTCATATGTCTTTATGTAATTTATGTGTATTAAGTATTATGTTACTAACGTACCAAATCTCGTTCTTTTATCTAAAAATATATATATTAAAAAAGTTATAGGGGTGAGCCACTTTTGAGACGCACCCGGTATATGTATTTTTCATTAAAGTTAAATAACGCATTTTTTGCCTTATTTTTGAAAATAAGTATAGAGAATAGTGTATTTTTAGAGAGCTGGTAATTAGACCAAATAAAATAAAAAAATAATATACAGGGTATTCCATTAAATCCATCTATTTACGCCACTGCGTTCTACGTGAAAAGCTCTATGGGACTCAGGGTGCATCCACACTATCCTAAAAACGGCGTATCGGCGCAACGGCGTAACGACCTTGAATAGATTGCCAGTAATTCTATTGGCTGAAAAATTCATCTGTCAGAAATTTTATCTGTTAAATTCATCTGTCAAAAATTTCAGCCAATAGAATTACTGGAAATCGATTCAAGGTCGTTACGCCGTTTTTAGGATAGTGTGTATGCACCCTCAGTCTTCGCCTTCTCGATAAGTTATAAAATAACCGAAATATGAAGGGAGTCGAAATATGCAAAATATTTATTTAAATTCGCCCGGTATTTCAGAAATTTAGGGAGCTAGGACAATTCTGTGTTTATCAGCATCTTAAGTTTCATAAAACAGTAGTACAGTGATATGAAAACCGCATCTTTGTATCTCTCTCATAAACGCGAAACCTCATAAAATACAGGAAAATTCCCATTTTTCTTGTTGTGGGTCGCCTGTACAGTGTGTCCCATTTTGGTTGAAATCATAGGGTATCTCCGTTATTAGTGAAGATAGAAGGATACGGTTTGCACAAACCTGTCCCACTTTTTCGTCAAACGGAAGATGCTGCAAACAAAATTTTCATAGCCCTCTTAGTTTCTGAGCTACAGGGTCTTTTCGAAAATTTTGCAATTTGGGACACCCCCTGTATCTCTGTTATTGTTAAAGGTATCGAGAAGGCGAAAACTGCTTATTGTAGAACTTTTTACATGGAATACAGTGGCGTAGTCTGTTTTTCTAAAAAATATTTTTGAAAATATGAACTAAAGTTATGTTTTTTCAAATGGAACACCCTGTATATTTATAAATCATATGATCTGTCTTGCTATGAGCTTCTCAAAAATATATATCACTCTATATTTATTTTTACTATTTACTGCAATATTTAAAATATATCATTTTCTTATTAGTAGGCCGTGATAAACAACAAAAAATCAAAATGGTATTTACTAAAATAGTCATACACATATTAAAGTTAATTTGGGATTGATATATTTACTTTTTGAAATAACTGTTACCACTGAAACTGTGAATATATCTTTCTTTTATTTATAACGGAATGGGTTTGCAAATATCTAAAAGCTTGAATTATTTAAAGCATTTTCAGGTGTTCGACATTGTTGTAGGTTGTAGTGGCCACGATATATTTCGTATTTCAAAATCCCCAAAATCAGAAATCGAGAACGGCGAAATCCGGGAATCGAGGAGGCTATCAATATGTGTTCATTGGTTCCAATTTATTGATTTGAAAAATAATAATTTAACAGTATTCTAATATTTTCATAGTTACGAGGGGGAATGTTCCTCATCTTGCTGAAAGTATATTTCACGTAAATTAGCTAAAGGAATATCTAAAATTTCCGATACGATAGATTATTCGTACGTATACACGTATTCCAAGATTTACAAATAGCAGTAGGGAGTTAAGTTTCCCTAATATATAAAGAATTTATTAGCGGCTCCCAAAATAAAACAAGAGACAGATAGCAGTATACTTTTAATAATTCTTTAGTTTCTTTTATTATCAATCATGGCCTACTAATAAATATGATCTCTTAATAAAAACTATTAAATATTGCAGTAAATAGTGAAAATAAATATAGAGTGATATATATTTTTGAGAAGCTTATGGCAAGAGAGATCATATGATTTATAAATATACAGGGTGTTCCATTTAAAAAAACATAACTTTAGTTCATATTTTCAAAAATATTTTTTTGGTAGAAAACCAGACTACGCCACTGTATTCTACGTAAACAGTTCTAGAATAAACGGTTTTCACCTTCTCGATAGCTTTAACAATAACAGAGATACAGGGGGTGTCCCAAATTGCAAAACTTTCAAAAAGACCCTGTAGCTCGGAAACGAAGAGGGCTATGAAAATTTTGTTTACGGCATCTTCCGTTTGACAAAAAAGTGAGACAGGTTTGTGCAAACCGCACCCTTCTATCTTCACTAATAACGGAGATACCGTATGATTTCAACCAAAATGGGACACCCTGTACACTGTAGAATGACGAATGTGTTGCTTCGAGGTAAAAAAATGGGACGCCTCCTTCAAAGGAGCCGACGTTTACAGTCGCTTCTGAGGTATTCTTTAATACAGTATCATTTATATTTATTTTTCACATTCAGATGGACATACGTTATTAACATTTTGCAAGCAATAAACAGCGCCGGAATCAAACCAAATTTGGGAACTTTAAATGCAGTACTACATACTTTAAGTACGATGGGCACGAGCCAAAACGTCAAAGACCTAACATTAAAAACACTGAGGCAGTTTAAGGATTTAGGCATTGAGCCCTGTTTAGGATCTTGGTATTATGTCCTAATCACTTATTGTAAAGAACGTAAGAAAATACCATTAATTTAAATGTAGGCATTATTAATAATAAATTCTTTATTTAGGTGGCCCTAAAAGTAATATCTTAAGTTACATCTTAGATGAAATTGAAGGCAAAACCTTCGAAATTCGAGACTTGACCGATACGAGTTTCTTTGTCACCGCGATGGACGTATCTAGAAACCATTTAAATGACTTGAATTTGGGCAAACGAGTTCATAGCTTGTTGCTGAAGGGAAATAATTATAATTTAATAGGAGACTCTTTCAAGGAATCTGTTTATTAGTAAGTACATATTGAATAAAAACACTGAGGAAGGAGTCTAAAGGTACGCGCACACTGACCAGAGACGCACGGGCCGCACGCGCCGCATCGACCGAAGAAAAATATTGTTTGTGTTACTTTCAATCAGGGTTGGCATGATTTAAATCAAATGATTTGAATCATGATTTATATCGTGATTTAAATCAAGTGGTTTTTTTAATTTTAATCATGTGATTTAAATCAAAAAATTAATTTTATTGAAACTTTATAATAAATCAAAAAATAACTGTAAAAGTTATAAAAATCTGTCCCAGAAAACTATAAAAAATATTTCTATAACAAATATAACAGATAATAAATCGAAAAATAATTGTAAATTTTATAAAACTATATAAAAATATCTATTCGTCAACTCAAATGTTGAACCAATTTTTGAAGTAATTTTGTGTGAATCCATAAAACCGCTAAACGCAGGGATTTATTTTAAAATTTATTTATAAGTAACAAAAATTCGCTTTTCGAATACATATCATTCGCCGACTAGTGCTGAACTAGGTTGTAATTCTGTACTATGTACTATGTACTTCTGATATAGAGACTATAATATAGTCTCTATATCAGAAGAACCTAGTTACCTAGTAATATAGAGACGATAATATAGTTTCTATATATATAGAACCTAGTTATTATCTTCATTCCCGAAAATCTATAATCCTTGTCAGAAAATACGTTGTTTTATATATTTTTTTTGAAACGTTGGTATGTTTCCAAATTCTTACCGACGTTTTGATTTGCAGTAAGTACTTTACACTTTGACATTAGATAATACCCTTGTATATGAATTTTTAAAGTAGCTCAACCTAAGACGTTTATGGATGTAAAGCACCAGATGGCGGGGCGTATTTCACAGTCTTTTACTACAGAAAAATATTCTTTGTTACTCTGAATTTTGAAGCGACCAATAAAAACAGAGAAAATAAAAATCGATAATTTTCGGACTGTGCCAATTGGTTACTAATCGACCAGACACTTTTTGTCTATTAGATATGCTATAAAAGCTGGTAATTATACAATTCGACCATTGTAAATACCCGACAAATTCCGCAAGGCCGACGAGGCCGATGCTTTTCACTGATAAGAAAAAAAAATGTTTGTTTAGATAATTTTCGAGATATTTTTCTTTCTGAATGCACATTTTTAAAGTATTTTATATTCTTTGTTCGCTTGATCTATTATACTGGTCGCACGTATCGAAGTTCTGTTTCTTCTAGTTTTAAAAATTGTTCTTATTTCTTTGTAGTTGTAGTGGTTGTAGTGTAAAATTAGATTAATTTTATTATGTTTAATTATAATGTTTAGTGTAGAATACCAGAAATAGTTTAGTAGTTTTTTATAGTTTATTATTTTGTAGTTAAGTAGTAGGTGAAGGGATAATTTGGTTATTTTTTCTTTTTGTTTGATTAATTAGTAAGTTTGATAATTTTTTCAGTGTAGAATACAAGAAGTAGTTGTGTAGTGTTTTTATAAGAGATTATATTAGTTTATTTTGTAGATGAGGTATTTGGGTATTTTTTCTTTTTGTTTTTCTTCTAATTGTAATAATTCTATTAAGTATTGTGATAGATACACTATATCTTCCTTCAACTTCGTTGACAAGTGCGTTATCACATAATTTTGGTTTTGTGGTAATAGAATATACGAAAAAAAAATCTGATCAAATTTATTTTAAATTAAATTAATCGAGTCTTATTAATCAAATTAATCTAGTCAAATACTAATAACAGTTAGTTTCTATTAGTTTCTAAATACTATACAGGGTGAATTTCCTACGATCGATGTTCTCTATGGGTATCTCGGAAACTACTGGAGATAGAGAGTCGGTTAAATGGGGAAAGAATAATTATTGCAGTTTTGTAGGGTCATAAATATGCGCCTTTCGGATTTTTCGAAGAAGTTCAAGGCTTACTAGATATTTCGAAAAAAACAAATTTTGGCTATTTTAAAACTTGTCTCTAATTCCATTATAATCTACCGTATGATCGAATAAAAACGGCGTCAACGATGGCTATGAAATGAAGATTGCTGTCATTTTATATGTAAAATTATATGGGAAATATCATCGATCGTCATTTCATAGCCATCGCTGACGCCATTTTTATTCGATCATACGGTATTTTAGACAAAAAGTTTTCAGATAAAAGTAAGTTGTAGATAATCACATACCTAATAATGAGTTTGTGTTTTCTGTTTTTTTTTTCTAAAGCCTGTCATTTTTGACATATGACACAAACATTATATTTTTTTTTAAATGGAAACCATAGTTGGCCATGACTTCATAAAAAAGCGCCATTTTTTAAGCTTTTCAGCGATATAAGTATATGTTTTTTTCGAAAAATTACAAGTTATAGCCAATTCTTTTCTTTCTTGGCTAATTTCCATACCAATAATACCATGCCAGTTAGTTGGCATCAAAAATGTAAGAAGTTTTATGTTTTCAAAAAAAAAATATCGTAAAATTCGTAAGCACTCAATTTAGAATAAAATAATCTAAGAATTAAATGATTCTTTTATAAACCTGCATTAAATCAAATTAAAATAGGTATGTAACTTTTTTTTTAAATATTAATTAACAACAATTAGCATTATCATAAATTATAAATAATGTACCAACATATCGAAATAATAATTTCTTTGTTAATACGGTTTAGAATTCTTAAAATAACAGGCAAAAATAATCCACAATTTACAATAAAATAAAAGTTTCGTTTAAATTGCTTAATCAGCTGATCACTATTAAAGTTCGCAGAAACCCGGGCTATTTTATTACATTACTCTGAGGAAAATAACGAAAATAATCGATATTTTTGACTCCGCCTCGAAAGGTTCACAATTTGTCCTCCAGTTGGCAGCACATTTTGTCTAGTCGGTTGATCAACTTTAAGAATATATAAACAAGGATAATACTAATTTCATTCTCGACTTAAAGACTATTTCCGAACAATAGTGTATTGTTTTGTTAAGAGTAGAAATTATACTTTTTTTGACGATGCTGTACATTCGAAGAACCATCGTAAAGCTATTCCGACGTTACAAGGAAGCACAAAAAGTACATTTTTACTCCGAATAAAACACTATATTTTTAAAACATTACAAATAATGTTTTAATCAATTTCAAACATTGCAAATAATACAAAGAGTAATCGAGAAACGATTTATACACTCGTTGAATTTGACACCTAATATCAGTTTAATAATATATTTTTGTACTTTTGTGCTTAGACGTAACAGTGATTTACTTTTATGCCTATAGTCGTTAAAATGACAAAAATTAATATACTGATATTACTGACCGATGTGGAGAAATGGCACGCCCAGTAGAATTGTTAATGTTATCGGTATCGCTCAGAGTTATTAAGATTTAGCCATTTACGATAGGACTTTAATTGGAAATAAGTCCTAGTCATTTGGAAATCCGATTTAAATATTGTTTTGAATTAAAATCAAAAAAATCTGATTTAAATAAAAAAAATCCGATTTAAATAAAAAAAATCTGATTTTTTTTTTTTTTTTAAAAAATCAAGATTTTTTCCAACCCTGCTTTCAATGAAGATGCGCACACTAGCCAGAGCCGCACCGATCGCATCGACGAAAATGCGGCCAGCATTGTTGGGCCAGAATGATTTTCGATAAATGCGGCTAGTGCTAGCCGAAAAGGAGATTAGAAATTCAATAATGCTAAGAAAGTCCGCAAATGTTTCATGGCTGATATTGAAAAAATTTTTAGTTCATCCTCAATTAAATATGGAAATAATGTGAATTTTTGCAAATATTGAGAACCTATAACTTTCAATTTTTTCTCGTGATTTCTTCTTCTATTAGCAAGGTGCTTATAACTATTTCTTGTTCGTTATCATTCATTGTCGAGAAATATTAAAAAAAAACACGCTTATCACCGCAGACAGGACTCTGGAAGCGACTGATGAGAAATTCGATTGGCAAATACGGGTGTAGTAGGGGCAAAAAGAAACAAAATAGCGAATAATGCGGCGCGTTCGGTACGGCTCAGTGTGCGCGACAAGAAAAAAGAGTGCGATTCACTGAGCCGTACCTAACGCGCCGCATTATTCGCTATTTTGTTTCTTTTTGCCCCTACTACACCCGTATTTGCCAATCGAATTTCTCATCAGTCCCTTCCGGAGTCCTGATGACAACGAACAAGAAATAATTATGAGCTCCTTGCTAATAGAAGAAGAAGAAATCACGAGAAAGAATCGAAAGTTATAGGTTCACAATATTGGCAAAAATCCACATTATTTCCATATTTAATTGAGGATGAACTAAAAATTTTTCAATATTTCAATACGAGCCATGAAAAATTTACGAACTTTCTTAGCAAATTGAATTGATTATACAGATTATAAACTTTGTTTTTTCTTTATTGTTTTTCGTGGTTTCAATTTTCGGAATCGGGTACTAGTTAGGTTACTAGTTTGCGCACGTAGCACGCCCACTTATGGCCTGTGAAATTGTGCACAGCAGCGCCTGACCGGCACAGTTATTAGAGAGATATCGGAAAACCGAATAGCGTCATGCAGTATTTACGCGGACCTTATCATGGTTACGATATGCGCGAGTCAATTTTTAACGCAACACCCGCTAATAACGTTACCGCCTGACGTAATTTGCGGATCAATTACACCAAGCGCTATTTCTAAATAACGTTTAAAAATTGCTTAAATGGGCATGAGCGGGTATTTGACAACCGGGGCCGGCTGGCGTGATCTTTTATTTTAGGTTATATTTGAATTGTTTTGAATTATTACTTTAGTTTTATTAGGTAATTTGATATTTAAGTAGCTGGGATTAGTTGTAATTAAATAAATATGGCCCAAAATATGGATTCCACCTCCTCCAATATTAAAGAATCTATAAGGAGGCTTAGGTTTACAGCAGATGACGCACTTAGCCCTTCTAAGAGAATTTGTTGATTGGTGCCCCAAACCCACTGGCAGACGTTGAACAATAAAGCACTGGAAATAAGCACTTTAGCCCTTTAGTTTTAAAATACCTAGTAAACAAAACAATTTCAAAGTTTTAAATTCAAAGTTAGGTTAAGTTTAAATAGCGGACGCGACGCGAACCGAATTCTTTCCGATCCGATAACTATAAATGAAGAGTGTTAATACCACCTCACATAAAGGAAATAACACCTGGCCTTATTAACGTCCATGCACGCTACTCGGTTTAGCGATATCTCTCTATTACGCTGTTGTTATTTTACGCGAGTTTATTTTTGCGCACAGGAAATTTTACTCGTTTGCACATCGTCATAAAAAACAATTTTCATAGCACGAATTAGGGAAAAGATTTTTATCTGTATACTTATAGGATACCTAATCTGTGGTAACACAAACAATATTTTTCTTCGGTTGAGGCGGCGCGTGCGGCTCTGGTCAGTGTGCGCGTACCTTAATACTCATTCACTAGAGACAGAATCGGCATTATGGGAATACTGTCTTTTGTAAATATGCTTGATTATTTTTTTTACAATAGCAATATTTTTAGCCGCCATTATTTTGCTTTATTATTGAAAAATATACCACTTGAAGAATTTATGCAGGAAGTATATTACAAATTAGTTCCTAATATATATGTACCGGAACCATCAATCATGGAAGAAGTTTTGAATCAGGTATGTATAACTGGCTACATTAAAGGCAGATCCAAGTCTACGGGAACAGACATAAATTAATCTTGAACACTGGTTACCTTTAAAAGCAAATTACTCTTTTATTTTAAATGAAACATCCAGTATATTATTTTCATATTCGACGAGGAATTCATATCTCTTCAAAATACTATTAAGGTTGCCTACCCCTCAAACAAAGATTTTCCTAGATATTTTCATTTTTAGGGTTCCCTACCCAAAGGGTAAAAACGGGAACCCTATTACTAGACTTTGCTGTCCATCCGTCTGTCACAAAGGTCTATCTTATGAACCGTTATAGCTAGATAGTTGAAATTTTTACAGATAATGTATCTATGTTGCCGCTATAAGAACAAATACTAAAAACAGAATTAAATAAATATTTATAAATAAAAAAGTACTTTCACTAAACATTATCTTTTTAGTAAGAATTTTACATAGAATCTTTCAAGTCCTCGTGGTTAAAGCGTTAGGACTTTACGCTGCTATGACGTTGGAGCCGTAGTAAGGCAGGTTCGAATCCTAGTCAAGGCGACTTTTTTTAATCGTTTTTTTTTTAATTTGTACATATTTTTACATATTTATTATGGATTAATTCAATTTTTAGTAATGTGTTTCTTCATTTTTTTTTTAAATTACCTATACGCGCATTCAAAAAGGACAACTAAAATTTAGGTAGCTGTTATCGAAATTTAAAATTTACTCTTCATTTTCACACAATCTGAAATATGTCAAAATGCTTAGATTTTAGGTATATGCTTCTTTAATAAAACTCATCTTTGTTTTTTTCTAAAATCCGAAAATCAATATATAGTGTGTTCCATTAGAAAAAACACAACTTTGATATGTAACTTTTTTTTGGGACACCCTGTATAATTCTATATATTTTTATAAAATGCTTTCAGTTAACCTACATATGCTGCCAAAATTTCATTTCGATATAAAATACCGTTCTCCTTGGAGCTTCCGCGGCGTATGAGAGGCGCCACCCTGTATCCCCAGAAAGAAGGATAACATGTTCTGAATATCTATTTGTTGTCATTTTTCCCCCTTTTTTTTAGTTCTAAATGTTCTCAAAAATCGCTTTTTTCTCGAGAATAATAAGAAAAAACTAGAAAATTTAGAATAAAATTTTAAAACGTGACTGATTGATTTTCTAACCTATTTTCTTTGCGCTATTCGTAAATTCTCGAGCATTTACAACACTTACTACATGTAAGTATGTTATGTTTCAGGTTGAAATTAATGGTGCAGTTGAATACATTCCGAAATTATGGTCGGATATGATTATTTTTGAACATTCAAACCGGGAAAACCTGGTAAATAGAGTTTTAAATTTGATGGTTAACGCTCATACAGCAGACGAAACTGATTTAGCTGAGAAATTCGGCACGATTGCTTGGGATATTTATACCAGTATTAATGACAATGAGGAAAGAAAATATAATCAGTTGAGGTATGATAAAAATATCAGTTTTTGGCTCACCCTGTATACGTTTAATGATAATCTATTATTCACAGCTTTACTGGAGATATGTTGGGAAATATTATGACGTTAGCTCTACAAAATAACGATTTTGAAAAAGCTAGCACTGTTATGGAAAAACTTGATAAAGGCCACACTACTATAGTGGGGGTGCCTAAGTTTGAAGCTTTATCGCTCTTTGTGGATCATTGTATTAAAAATAAAGCTCCATCAAAAGCTATTGTAAGTGTTTTATATAGATATATTTATATGATATTTTTTTCTTGGCTTTAGGTCAGGTAAACTTTATGCCGGGTCCAGACCAAGCAGACAAAACAGTGACAAGACAGAAACATTCATGTTTTACGACAAAGTTGTGACAAATCCAATACATTTCTGCGACATTTTTGTCTCATTTTTGTTTTGTTTCAAAATTCGGAGACTTTTCAATGTCCCGTCTCGAGTCGGCAAAGATCAAAGTGTCTATATTTTGTTCGTATATTTTGCAACAAGTTGTCGGCGCAGTGTAGATGGCGTATGCTGCCAACAGTAGGAGACCAGTGAAATCACACATGGTTAATAAAACTAATTCGCAATAACTAAACTTTTGACTTTTTTGTACTTTTGTCATTGCGGTCTGACAATTTGTCTCAAGTTTGTCTTGTCAGAAGTCTCCATTTTTTGTGACAAGTTTGTCTTGTTTTTGTCTCAAAATCGTGTTTATTTTCTGTCACCTTTTGGTCTGGACCTGGCATTAGGTTTTATATAAAAATTTTATTTTGTTACCTTGAAAGTAAATTTCGGCGGATTGTTTCAGTTTTTAGCTTAACTTTTATTGTTTTCTTTTTATAATTTTATCCATTTTCATTCTCAAATCAATTTTTATAAGGTGACGTGAGAGAAAAATACTAAAAAGCCTACCTTAGTGAAGAAAATAATCCAATATTGATACTCCAACACACATAACATAAAACATCTCGATATAGTCGTCACAATTTTTGTAAAGAGACGTAGACACACACATTGAAATAGATTTTACAACACTGAATAATATATTTTACTCAGGTTGTTTAAATCCCTCCTATCATTAACAGAGTGTTGTTTTTTTGGATGGCAATAGATTCAAGAATTTCTCTTTTTCTGGTGTTACATTCGATGATTATATATGATATAACACCGGATGATTGAAAAAAAGAGGCGTAAGCGATGACTATGGAATGAAGGTCTTGGGTCGGTATTTACATGTATGGAAGTAAATCGCATAGGGATCTTATTAAGTCGGAGTGAAGGAAATGCGACTGTGTACTGTTGCTGCGTTGCCACATTTCTCCGGTACGCCTTTCCCTATCAAGTACATAAAGTAAAATCACGATCGCAAACCGCTTATTTTTCAAAGACTTTTTTCGAAAAGATAACTAGATAAAATCATTAGATATGTTTCTGAGCATCTGAAATGGAATTATAATGCTGGAAGTACACACTCGCCGAGGAGACCCGAGGCGCCACAAAAAATGCGAGTCAGCGAGAGGTCCAGCGAGGCGCCCGGAGACATAGCGCAAAAACACACCAATAAAATTTTGCAGCACATAAATAAATATATTCTGAAGAATAATTTTGTAAAAATAAAAACAATCAGGCGCTCAACGAGATAAATTTAGTAACACTTTTGGGAAAATTTGGGCAAAATTTTTTCTTAAATCCAATTTAAAACCGACCTGAAAGTCGAGAAAATAAAGAAAACCAGTGAAATCCACAAAATCAAATTGCATATATTAGTTTCAAACAGAAAAAAATAAATCCGCCTGTGATTATTTTTGTTTGCGTTGTATTTTTGGTATTTTATAGCTTATGTTACATACGCTTTGTTTTTTTGGTATTATAGCTTTATTACATACGCTTTGTTTTTTGATCCTTGGCTTTTACGTCACAGATTATCATTCTGTTGTCCGTGTTTGTAATGAAAAAAATCATGAAAACCAATATACCGTCGAAAATGATGACGTAACTGCCAAGGACCGAAACAAACTGTATTTTCGACTTTATGTTGCCGAGGTGAGGTGTATTAAAATCAAAAAAAATATATAATCCTGCATAAAAACGTAAAATATTTACGATTTTACCTAATATTAAAACAAACTATTTTACATTATAAAAAAATTAACTGAGGATAAAAAAGTTTAATCAATAATTTTTAATTAGATTAATAATTCTTATGTTAATGATGACAAAAAAGCGAAAACAGTGTATAAGTCTGTATCATAATATATTTCACGTACATTATAAGTTTCTTTGATTAAAGGACGCAATAACGACATGTTTATACCAATAAGGACACGTTTTTTGCTAATCTCTCAAAATGGATTTATTTCGTTTTGTTTGATCGCTTCTCAGTTATTAAAATAAACGTAGATACTTATAGAAACTAATGAATGTTTATATTAGGTTGGCAGTCATATATTCGAATTTGAGGACTTTCCATCAAACCGAATGAAAACTTCGTGCATAGCTTTTAATAGAGGTGTTTTTCTTTAGTTTTGTGTTTTTCTATAGTTCTTTCTTTTTTTTACAGTTCTCGTAACAGATTTTTCGGTACTTTGACTAAAGTCGTTGATCCACTGTATTAATTATATATTTATATTTTAATAATTTAACTACCGAAAATAGGCGTCAACACAAAGGCAGTTGAGAAGACGAACTAAGGAATGCCGAGATCTCCCGAGAGCACCGTGTATATTTTCGCGGGACTTCCTACTTAACGCTTTCGCCATAGAGAAATATAGAATCTATTGTGTCTCTCTTTTATTTAGTTTCTCTGTGGCTCTCGTCTCCTTTGACTCTGCTGGAGACCGCCTCTAGACCGAGCGCTCCCAAGACGAGGCGAGCGGCACCGAGGCAAAACGAGAGCCCCAAGTATACACTCGCCCTCGGGTCCCCTCGGCGAGCGTGTACTTGATACAAAACGTTCAGAATGCGAAGCGAGAGAATCCGAGACGACGCGAGAGCCCCAAGTACACACTCGCCTCGTCTCGGCCTCGGGTCACCTCGCCGAGTGTATACTTGCACCATAAGGATGTCGTTAGAGTGTCCATATTTTTTATAACGAGAAAACGAAACAACTTTTTAACACATAACACGGGATAACTCAAAAACCACTTTAGATATTGACACTTTTTTTATTTTGAAGTTCGGATCTTTTACAACATGTTTAAATGAGGAAAATTCGATAGGCTTGTTTCTTTTCCCTTCAAAAATTTTAGTGCATAGCAATTTTGAGCAATCGTCTAACTTTTTTATTTGTAAAGATTTTCACATACTGTCTGCGAAGAAAATATAGCAGAAATATTAAGAAAGTTTTTGAAAAAACTACAAGCAATTATTTCAAATGGATTTTGAGATATCGGTTTTTGAATTCAGAATTCTAATAGCGCGACCACTGTCGAACACCAACTAAATTCCACTTATTTTTATCAAAAGTTCAAGTGTTTCTAACTTGCACTTAAAAATTTACAAGCTATAGGGAAAATTACAACGACTCGTTAATAAATAAACAAATAAAGTATCACGAGACGTAATTAAAGAATTCTTCTCTAGAATTTTAAGTACTGATTGGGTCGACCGGTCGATCGCGACGAATCTACTCTATCCCCTTCCACGTCTCTTAGCAATGTGCACAGATTCTCTGTTTATTTCATTCGTTTGGCAAGGTTTTTACTGTTCTCTCTTTGTTCAGTGCATTATAAACGCATTGTACTCTTCTTACATACGGAAATCTTGGCCCAAGACTAACCCTTGCCAGCCCTTCGTGTGGTTGGTCGTTTCCAAGCCAATCGGATGCCGTTTTTTTCTATCATACGGTATTTCTTTTAATTTATTTTCTAATTTAAATATTGTTTGTTATTTTCAGAGGTGCATTCAATATGCGTCTGATAGTGGATTTCCGGATGCAGTTGTACTAGGAGCCAAGTTGAACGAACAGTTGACATTAGATAAAAATCATTTAGAAAGTTTATCGAAAATAGTTGACTTAAGAGTTCTATAGTTCTTTCTTGTATTTTTTTATTAAACTAGTCATTAAATAATTAATTTAGAGTTTTATTAATTTTTATAAGTCTAATAAAAAAATAACCGTTAAGTCGAAGAAAACATCGTCGTATTGTATATACCTATATACAGGGTGTCCCAATATTCCGTGGACATACAACTACTCTACCTATGTATTTTTGAAGTCAAAATAAGTTCCTTAGATACTTAGATACTAGATTGTATACAAAAGTGCTTCGTTAGTCCGTTAGAGGGCATAAAACCTTAATTAAAAATAAACACATTTTCATGATATTTGACATTTTTTAATATTTTATTGACATTTTTATATATACTTTTATAAATTTTAAAAATCGTTAGAAAAAGTACGGGAATGGTGGAAACTACCTCCACTGCTACTTAAATTTTAGTTAAAAAATATATAGTTTTCAACAGTCCTGTGCATTTTCTTAATTTTTATTAATGTCAAATGTTAAATTATCAAATATCCAACAGAAGAGTCAAATAAATTTATTTTGATTCCAAAAACGTACTTAGAGTAGTTCCATGTCCACGGAATATTGGGACACCCTGTATGTAGGTATCGATGTTTATGTTTAGTGACCATCTCTAGTCTAGGTAAGGGTAGGGTAGGTCGTTTGACCATGTGTGGTTCATTTGAACTATTTATGTAGATATGGAATATGGTTATGAAAATTGTGTTTACTTCAAAGTGTTTGTGTTTACTACTTGTTTTTATTAATTTAATATAATGTTAATAGTCTTTTTAATATACCAATAAACCATGTCTAGCGAATGAATACACATGAATAATCGTAAACAGTGTTTGACAACATAGCCATGGGTAAACAAATAAATTTTAATATTTTATAAATAAATCAACATACCTATTTATTTCTCTCAGATTTGAGTGAAGCGAGAAGAATTCTAGACTCGGTCCTAGGAGACGAAGTAAGAACACAGTACTTCTCATGCCTGCGGCAATGGTGCTTATTTTCATCAACACTCACTTTGGAGCAATTAGATGCAGCAGTTCGAAAAATACTTACGAATAAGGAACAATACAAATGCCATAAGAACTATATATTGGCTCTTCAAGTCAAAACCGGCCTAAATATGTATAATGGAAAACATAGTAAGCCGGTGGACAATAAAAACTCCTTTGAAATGGCCGATTTTAATGATTATGTTCCGCCGTTAAGTTATGCTGCTGCTTCATCTTCTACAAGGTATAGATCAGCGGCGGCCGAGCTTTTTACTCCCGATAGTGAGTTTGTTATGTGCCGAACAGAAATAGCTGCATGGAAAAATGGACTGGAAGGTCCCGGTAATGATGTCAATGAAGTTATTGCCTTTGCATGTAAGGTAAATATTATCATTTTTCAAAATTAAGTTAATACAAGGTGACCCTAATACAGAGTATATTAACGGGTCACCCACAGTTAAAATGTGGCCTACCATTGCTTGTACGTTTTTTAAAAAAGGTTGGAATGAAAATATCAAATAGTAATCCTGATATAATAGAGCTTTTCTGGATACTGAGCCATTCCCTACACATCTATTTTTGTTCATCAGGTGTTCCTTAAGAATATTATAACAGCTATGATTACTAAAGCAAAGAGCTACAAAGTAAGAGATGGCAAGTTCCAGTATGGTTTTAATATGCCGATACCAGATCCATTTTTGAGGAATTCGAGACATATATTTGATGAATCTTTGGAATCAAAAGTTGATACTGACGAGGGTGTATTATTTCCAACGCCAAGAATATCTTTTGAAAGAGCAGAACAAGAAGTAGCTTATGCTTATGGAGCAGCAAGAAACGTACTTAGTTTTTATCATTGAATAAAATTACTATGGAAGGAGCATAAGAACAAAATTAGCGCAATCGCGAATGTACTGTCATATGGCTCACATAAATTCTGGTTTATCAGTGGCATTCTATTTTTTTACAATAAATAAACTCAGAACAATACGAACCCCTACAAATTTATATGATATTGTTTTCATCTCCTTTACGTGAATATAAAAATAGTACTAGTCTCCTCTCTTAGTAATTTTATTCAGTATTCAGATTTCATGAATACATTCAGTTCTTAAAAGAGATTACTCCCTACTACTCATATTTCTGATATTTCAGGTTAGAACTGGAGTTACATTAAACAAGAAATTGTTATTTAAAACTATAGTGGATAATCCTCAATTGCTAGGTGTTCATAGTATACACAGTGTAAATGTATTGAAACTAGGTTTGGATTTTGATGATAATGAAGAAAAGGATCTGTTGAGCGATGAGGAGTCTGATTAATTAATCAAGAATTTAGTTAAGGATTTTGTATTTATATTTAGAGACCAGAGCTGTGACTTTATTTTTTTAATGTAATAAAAACCATTTTCTATATTATGGTCGACATTATTTCAAGGATATGCCTTTGATTTTTCTAATTTTTTAAATTTGAAGAGTGTCTTTGATTTTTAGTTGTTTTCCTTTTGGTTGAATATTGATATTACAATCTCAACTGTCATCTATATCTGCCCTTAATACATTAAAGAGCAAATATGTTACAATTTTTCAGTAAAAATTATTTAGTTTGGTGAGAATCGATAGTTATCTGTGAATATAATTCAAAAGTATATTGTATTTCCTGTCATTCCTGGAATGTCTTCTGGCTAAAATCTTAATCCTCTAAAAAAAGTTTCGCAACATATTCGTCATATAATCTAAAATATCGCAACATATAATCTAAAATAATAGTGCCAAGAAAGCAACAACAACTGTTATTCATAAATAACAGGTTCGCAAAATAGCCGTTATGAAAATATCAGTGCGCGCTGACAAAGGTGTTACATAAACTGCTCACAATAGAACGGAATGGAGAAGAATTGTAAACTCAGTTAACAGCGACAACCAAAAAGTAAAGAGACAACAAAGCAATGAAAATGATGAATGTCCGGAGTGCGGTAGACAGATAACATCACGTATCAGGCTTTTCAGTCACAGAACAGCTCATGAAAGAAAACGCCTTGCGTGACCAGCTTCTGATGCGTGTCAAATACTCGTCAGCGAGTAATGGCAGTATATATGTATATAAACTGTTATTTCTAATAACAGTTAGCAACAGGTTTACAAAATTGCCGCTACGAAAATAACAGTCCACTGACAGCGGTGTTACTTAACAACTGTTATTTATAAATAACACTTCGCGACAAGTTGTTTAAAGTAACAGTTAAGAAAATAAGTGCTTTTACAGCTACCTGTTTTTAACCGCTCTTTATTTGTACAATAACAGTTAATATTCATATAAAAACCATACATTACTAATACCGTATGATCGAAAAAAACGGCGTCCAGTTGGCTGGGAAATGACGATCGATGACATTTTCCATATAAATTTATGTATAAAGTGACAGCGACCTTCATTTCATAGCCAGCGCTGACGCCGTTTTTTTTTCTCGATTATACGGTAGTAGTAATGTAATCATAGTAATGACATACGCCCAACAAGTGTTGCATTTGAACTAAACAGTGACAGTTGTCTGTTATTTAAATTATACAGTATATTTCTTGCGCTGTTATTTTATTACAAGCGATGAATAGAAAAAAATATACGATTTTGTTAAATTTTTATTAAACTAATACAAATTTTATAAATGCATTAAAACAATAATTGCTTTTAAAAACAGTTCAGTTCAATTTTCTATAAAAGATTAATACCTATATAAGACTCATCACTTGCATAAGCACCACCATTTCATTATACAAACCAATTATTTATACACTATACTTCATGTGTGGTTATTAAAGAAAAGTTATACAGAAAAACTATAATTATTTTACATTACTAGGTTCTAACACTATAATATAATCTTAGAATATATTATATATCGACTTCCTTACCATGGACGAGGTTGGTATCCCTGTTGTGGATAAGTTCCAGGAGGATAAGTCCCAGAGGGATATGTTCCTGTTTGACCAGACTGGGGAAAACTGTAGTTATTTGGGTAGGGCAATGTACCGTACGGGTTGTATCCCTGAGGCATAGGCGGAGGTGCGTAGGTAGGGTAAGGCGTGTTGGCTGTAGCCCCATATGGCACGGGCATTCCTTGGACGTACACTGGATAGGGAAGGTTAGAAGGTACCTGACCTGGAGCAGCTGGTTGTGGCGCGGTAGAACTTCCAGCTGATGGAGGTGTGCTTGGTTTAGGATCTAAAAATACAACAAAAATCATTATACCGTATGAGAAACGGAAATAAGCAGTGTCAAGATTAGCATAAAAATTATCTGTTAAAAATATTAAAAATTGTTTGCAACAGGTTTGTAACCTAACATTTTTTTTATTGAACAACTGTTATTTATAAATAACAGTTCGCAACAGGTTCATAAAATAACAGTTACGAAAATAACAGTCCGCTGTCAGCGGATTGTTACATAATAATCGTTATTATACAGGGTGGTCCGAACTGTATTGCGGAAACTTCAGCAGCATATTCTGCAGTTAAAAATAAGTAAAAAAGTTCGTATAAATGTATGTCCTAAGATGCTTAGTTTCGGAAATACAGGGTGTAGAAGTTTCATTTTTATTTCGATTTTTTCCAAATAATTTCAGAAGTAACGTCAACATTTGGATGAAAATTGGTGTTTGGGAGTTTTTTAAGATGAGAAGTTTGATTTTGATGTCAATATGACTCCTGCTAGTAGAGGGCGCCACCTACATATTTTTAACTGATTTGAAGAGTAATAACTTTTCGTCCGTACCTGTATAAAACTACCGAGTAAAAAAATATACATTTACGACGTTTTTTACGTGAAAAAGGTATCTTGGTAAAAATCGCTATGAGTAATGGTTTTCGAGATATTTGGAATCGAAATTATCAATACCTGTCATGATTGACATAAATTAAACATGTTGACTAAATAGTTATTAGACTGAAATCATAAATTTGAAATGTTTTTGTGCCAAAAGTTCAACAGAAACTGTTTTACCCAAGGACTGTATATATTCTAAAGGACTGTTCGATCGCGTCAAATCGCCGCTGTTGTAGTCGCCGTGGAATGCTACATCACGCGCTGACCAGCGCTCCACAGTGCGGCGGATGGTTATTCTAGCGGGTCAAAATCTCAAGAGCAATGTTTGGGACTTAAAATCTAAGAACGTAGCAAATGGTCTAATATATAGCAACTATATGGTTAAATTTATTTATTGATTAACAACTTAATTTATTAATAAAGAAATACAAGATAATAAAACTATGATATTGTTCCTACATGACACACAAAAACTGTATTGTAAACTATTGCCAAATACATAAAATTATGATATCAGGTGAAATACTTACAAAAAACTCTTTAGCAGTTATTTTTTAATTACTTTGTAATCTTGTGACACCCTCTAATATTTTATTTTAAAAAATTATATTTTATTTTAAAAATATTAATTAAGATAGATATTTTAATTTTAATTTTAATACTCGGTAATTGTAAATTCATATATACAGTAAGTATCTAAGACAATTTTTTAAACTCAGTGCCTTTTGATGGAGTTGTTTTGTTTTTATACTATCCAATTGAAATGAAACTTTTTGGGCATTCACCTGTTAAGCTTGAACTCCCTGTGACTGTAACTACCTGTGTTGGTAACTATTGGTAACTCAAAAGATCTACATCATTCAATATATCGATATTTGAAAAAAAGTGAAAGTTTGATATCTGCAGAACAAAGGCACGAAGGATTTTAACAAATAATATACGTACAGTAGAAAAGTACATACCTTTGGCAATCTTCAACATAATTTGGCTTTGGAATAAAATGTATAAGCACTTGTAAATATTTTGTTTTCGTATGATCTCTGCCTTGCTGAGCAGAAAACGACCAAATTTGGGTGATAAAAATGTATTGAAATACAAAGAATATTCATGCATTTTTATATCAATTGGAATGTCTACTATTTATTCTTACAGTACACATTTTTTGGCTTATTTCTAACCAAATGCCCCGCTAAATTTATCTTCCAGCGCACTGTGCGCTCGTCGGTCAAATGCTTTGAATAAGAAGACTAAGGAAGGAGCATAATGCTATCCATGTATTCATGCAGGGTGGGCGGAAAAAGCACTCTAGGGTGGGGATCCTTGACAGGTTGTTCTGTTTGACGATTCATTTGACACATTTGAATTTGATTTGAAATTTTGTGGATTTGTCAGTCTTTACGGAGCTTATTTTATGTTATTTATTATTTATTCTACTACTGATAGTTGTATAAAGGTAGTAAATCTAGATGGAAATTGTGGCAGAACTTAAATTAATAGTGACACTATCGCGATTTATCGAAAAAGACTCTAAAATAGTTGATTGTGTAGCGTGCGGTAGATCTCGGCAAAAATTGAGTGAAATAATGGAACAACTTTTCGCTAGTAAGTGACTATATAATATACATACGTGTAGTAAACCGATCATTTATGAAATTCACTTAAATTAACTAAATTATATATTTTTCTTGCATTTTAGCTTTTATTTATTACTTGTCAAAGATTAGATGCCAAAGAATTTAGATACGTTAATTTGACTTACCTGCTTCAGTAGCGTATCGGATGTTTGTGTTAATAAATACTTATTATAACTTATCTATCTTTATTAGAATTATATATTTTTATAACAATTTAAATAACTACCAACATTTATTCACAACGTAAAATAAAACAACAAATTATTAAGTCTACCCCACGTAAGTCTACCCCAAGTTTTACATTTTTTAAATAAAATTAGAACGACACTGATAAACCGGAATTTAAGTCGGCCATATTTGAGGCCCATCGCGGTGTACCTAAGATTTTTGATATGCTCCTTCCTTAGTCTTCTTATTCAAAGGTCAAATGCAAAGATAACTGTCACTGTCTAAAATCTTTAGCGCCAACTTCAACTCGGTCCCCAGATGACGTAAAAAAACTGACAGTGCAGGAAGATAGGAATCGAACTATCCTTATCTCTATAGTATCCTTGTGTTTTACCATCATTTTTTGCAGAAAAATTTATGATTAGTTTAAAAAAATAAAAATTTTCCAAATTTATTATTTCAGTCAAATAACTATCTACTCAACGTGTTTATTTTTCGTCAATAATGACATGTATTGACCATTTCCATTCTAAATATCTTAAGAGCGGTTGCTCGTAGCAATTTTTACAAAGAGATATTTTTTACGTAAAAAGTCACAGAGATGCCTATTCTTTCGCTCGGTAGTTTTATACAGGTACGGACAAAAAGTTATTACGCTTCAAAATAGTTAAAACACATGTAGGTGGCGCCCTCTACTAGTAGGAGTCATATTGACATCAAAATCAAACTTCTCATGTCAAAAAACTCCCAGACCCCAATTTTCATCGAAATATTGACGTTACTTCAGAAACTATTTAGATAAAATTGAAATAAAAATGAAACTTCTACACCCTGTATCTCTGAAACTAAGCATCTTAGGATATACATTTATACAAACTTTTTTACTTATTTTTATCTGTAGAATATGCTGCTGAAGTTTCCGTAATACAGTTCGGACCACCCTGTATAACAGTTTGCAACAGTTTGGGAAAAGTAACAGTTGAGAACCTAACAGTAGACTTCCAGCGATCTGTTATTTAACAACTTTTATTTATACATATCAATTGCTATTTATAAGCAAAGCTCGCAACAGGTTGGTAAAAGTAACAGTCGAGAAAATGACACTACTCTTCCAGCGATTTGTTACTTAACAATAAATAACAGTTTGCAAAAGGTTCATAAAATTAACAGTTACAAAATAACAGTGACAGCTATGTATTATTCAACAACTATTATTTATGAATAACAGTATGCAACAGATTTGGTACATAACTGGCAAAAATAACAGCGCGCTGACAGCTATCAATAAATAACAGAGGCCTATTATTTTTAAATAACACTAACAGTTTCAACTGTTATTTAGAAAAAAATAGTTCTGTCCAGCTCTAGCTCATCAATATTTAGCTTACCTGAGTAGTAACTTGGTGTAGGGGGAGTAGGCGCTGGAGTTGTCCTACTACTCTCCTGTGTCAAATCCTTCATCAATTCATCTTTTTCAGTTTTTCTGGCGAAGCAGAAGTCTGACACTTTATTTTGGAAACTTACCAAGAGCTGCAAATATAAATAACAATTCTAAATAAACGTAAACCAGGAACAATGTTTATATGACGTTAAGCACTTCCATTTAAAATGCGTAATTAACTTCATTTAGTATTTTTATATAATTAGTTTGAAGCTGTTTGTACCTGTGTTAAATCATTGTAGAACTTGGTTCCTTCCCGCAGATTGTTTAATAAATCTCTGAAGACATCGTGAGCAGCCGCCAGTTGACACATCATAGCCTCCCTTCCTCCAGTTGTAGTACCTCTTTCACTAGTGAAGGCTTCATGGGCACTCTAATAATATTAGAAAAAATATCAATAAGTAAAACGCAGTTTGCGATTTGTTGCTCATCTCTAGCGTATGGCCCCGCAGGAGGAAAATTATGACGAAAAGTAACTATATATTAAAATAATTTTTCAAAAAAAATGATTTGTATCATTGTGAGCTGCTAGGAAACTTTTCATACTACCCTCGCAAAACAAACCGAAACTCACCCTTATCCTCTCAACCAAACTTTTCTGTTTCTCGATGCTTTCTTGCACCTGCTTTTGAAGGGGTCCGTACTTCTGACCTAGGCTTTGATATGAGAGGGCAGCTTCGTTGATACCGCCATCTTTGGCCAGCGCCGACAGAAACTCATCTTTCATGTCGGCAGTGGGACCCTTTAACTCCGATTCGATGGCATCGCGTTCAGCTTTAATCGTCTCTACCTGATTATTAGACAAAATATCGAACATAAATATTATGTTTTTTTTATAAATTCGTATTTTACAATCTCTGATTTCTGAGGTTTGCGTTGTGGTTTAAATTCTAGAACTGTTTTCGAATGTTATTATCGCTGTGGAGTATCAATAACTTAATAATTAATAATGTTTATTTTATCCAAATTAAACTGATTTATAAATAATTCGAATTTTATGTGGAAAATAAAAACACTTGAGTAACAATAATTATTAAGTTTCTTTTGACTGCTTACCTCTTCCATTAGTTGTCTTAGAGTAACCACTGTTGACGAGTTTCCTATATTTCCTCCATTACCAGATGGTAAGGATGATTCCAGTTCAGCAGGCGATTTACTGAGAAGTTCCATCATAGCTTTGTGGGTGTTAAATTTACTTTGAATAACTTTATCGGCCTAAATAATAGAAAATACGTTACTTGTAATACGAATCCACGACTGCTCTACCGGCGAAAAATAACCGTTTGTATAACAAAAAAAGTTACACGCTTATTTTTGGTGCCCAACGTGAGGCCAAAAATTTAAATCGTTCTTAGTATATCACACAGATCACGAAAAAATGCCTTTTAAATACGAATCGATTATAAGTTAGGTCAGGCCGAACGCCATACATAGTGTACCAAAAAGTTCGCAACAAATGGGAGCATTTTTCAAGTTCAAAAAAAATATATGTGGAGTTCTTCAGTATAACCAATCACAAAAAAAATATTAATTCTACTAGATTTAGTAAGAAAAATAAATCGTCACAATAATAATATTTCAGAACGGCTGAATAAAACTGAAGACATTTTTTCACATTATACAGGCGAATTTAATTGTCAAAATATGTGATTCTAGGTGAAAAATGTTGGTCCTTTACTTCAAAAGAGCTGACGCTTATTGTCGATTAAGTTGTCGTAAGGCTTAAGTATTTAGTGGTAATATTATATTCTTAAAATTAAAGAGAAGTTTTTAAAAATATATTATTTCAATGGATTTTTTAGATCAGAACTGTTAAAAGCTGAAAATTAAAAATACTAACCTCAATAGCATTATTAATAATCTGCCTATATTTTCCCGCGTTCGATTTGAACATCTCTGTCAACTTCTCAGATGGCGTTCTAGTCCATTTTTCTTTAAACTGTTGTCTCAAAGCGTCATCGGCAGCTTTTTCCTCGTTCAACATCCGGTCGGTTTCATCGAGAATATCCTGATTTCGCTTCAACAAATCGGGCAGTTCTTCTATCATCTTGCTTAGTTCCGCAATTCCTCCTAAAGATGCCACTGCCACTGCTTTTTCCACAATTGAAGGTGGAAGACCGGTTGAAGAGTCGGTAACTTCGATGGCCGCAGGTAGATTCAGGCTTGCCAATATTCTAGGAAAAAAAAAACAATGAAATGTAAAAAATCTACATAATATAAACAATACCAAATAAACTTTTAGTTATGTCATCAAGGGCGAGGTTATTAAATTCATTGTTGCCAAACATAGACATATTCGGCGCCGGGCTGACAAACTGAAATTTAAATTTCCAGCTAGCGATTCTGGTAGTAGTTCTGTTGTAAAAATGTCAAATTGTCACATTTATTTATTTATTTCCTGACATTTTGATTCGTTTTGACACTTTGGTTTTGTATTACAAGTTTTTGGTTTAAATAAAACGTGTTGTGATAATTTAAGCTTATTTTTTTACTAGTAGACCTTGCAGTTGAAAATTGTTCTTTTTAGAACTGCTTGTAGTGTGAAGTGTGTACAAGATGCTGAAGCAGCTTAACAGCCGTTACAAAAAACTCTTTGCAACTTTTTTAGAATAATAGTAATAGTTACCCTTTATGTTCCATAAGTGCTGTTAAGGAGGTGAATTGCGTTGATGTAAATAATAACTGTTTATATATTTATAATTAATTCGTTTTTGTTTCTTAAAATATTTTGATTAAAAGAAAATATGTAAAAGTGGGCGACGCTGTGCTAGTCAAGTATGTAACTAAAAGTTTATCTGATATGATCTATAAAGGGTCTGTTCAACAAGAGATCCATGACAGTTACAGTGGCGTCTGTCATTTTAATGCACAGATAAATTGCATTTTCTGTCACATTTTGGACAAACTCTACGCGTTTTTTTTACGGTATAATTTAGATACAAAGCTAAATGTTTCAAGTTAACATATTTCCAGGTGTTATGAGTTTGTTTATTTAAATAGAAGTCCCTATACAGGGTGCGTCTCAAAAGTGGCTCACCCCTATAACTTTTTTATTTTTTCAGATAAAAAAACGAGATTTTGTATGTTAGTATATGACATAAACTAGGATTGATTGACGTATTCGATTGTTTTTGGTCACTTCCTGTTTTACCGGAAATGACTACAACTTTTGATTTTTAAACGGCAACATCGGTATTTTTTTACTTTATACGATAGAAAATGACATTCTGAATAGATTGACATATCATAAGTCAACTTTTGAAATTTTCGCTTTAAAAAAACGTATTTTATATTTGAATCTAAAGTGCCATGGCTATGTTAAAAACATTCATTTTTAATCAAGGAGCCTTGGAGAAATAAATTTGATCGTCTAATGTTTTTAGTGTCGTGTCCTGGCCGGTTAAAAAATGCCCAAATCGTATTTTTCATCATATCTCAATTTTTTCAAATAGAACTAGGGTGGCTCATTAGCATATTTGGAAAAAGCATTTTTTTACGAATAATTTGATACAACACACTTGGTATTTCGAGTCAAATTTTTGTTATGAACAGCATGTTATAATTTCAAATTAACCATAGCAAAATAAAAACACTAAATCACCACAATACACCAAACACTTTTACTTTTACACTGGACGCGCGTTTCGCTAACCATGTTAGCATCATCAGCAGATGATTATAAACTAAAGTACAATCTACAAGGTGAGCGTTTATATACTCGCTCAGTGGGCCCCGAGTGGGCGTGGCAAAATCTAGCCAACCGAGTCAGAGCCAACTGAGCGTAACAGTTAGATTTCCGCCACTAGAGTAGTAGGAACAAAGAACTTGAAGGAATTGGACCGTTGACTCTGTTCATACTATCTTTACATTTATTAATTCTGATGCTTTCATATACATCTAATTGCCTGTAATTTGAGACTTGTTTAATTAATTTTAAATTATTAATATCTATACAATGTTCATTATCAACAATATGTTCGGCAACGCAAGATTTATCCGGTCTACCATATCTTATCTGAGCTAAATGTTCTTTAAATCTAGTTAATATTGATCTTCTAGTTTGCCCAACATATTTCTGATTACAATCTTTACAAGAAATTTCATAAATACCCGACCTTTCCAGTGGAGGTGTTTTATCTTTTGGATTACCTAATAATTGTTGTAATTTATTATTAGCACTATACACAAGTTTATAATTGACATTCTTAAAAATTCCTTTTAGACCACGGGATAACTAACGGAATTTTTAAGAATGTCAATTATAAACTTGTGTATAGTGCTAATAATAAATTACAACAATTATTAGGTAATCCAAAAGATAAAACACCTCCACTGGAAAGGTCGGGTATTTATGAAATTTCTTGTAAAGATTGTAATCAGAAATATGTTGGGCAAACTAGAAGATCAATATTAACTAGATTTAAAGAACATTTAGCTCAGATAAGATATGGTAGACCGGATAAATCTTGCGTTGCCGAACATATTGTTGATAATGAACATTGTATAGATATTAATAATTTAAAATTAATTAAACAAGTCTCAAATTACAGGCAATTAGATGTATATGAAAGCATCAGAATTAATAAATGTAAAGATAGTATGAACAGAGTCAACGGTCCAATTCCTTCAAGTTCTTTGTTCCTACTACTCTAGTGGCGGAAATCTAACTGTTACGCTCAGTTGGCTCTGACTCGGTTGGCTAGATTTTGCCACGCCCACTCGGGGCCCACTGAGCGAGTATATAAACGCTCACCTTGTAGATTGTACTTTAGTTTATAATCATCTGCTGATGATGCTAACATGGTTAGCGAAACGCGCGTCCAGTGTAAAAGTAAAAGTGTTTTGGTGTATTGTGGTGATATAGTGTTTTTATTTTGCTGTGTAACACCAAAGGTTCCAACCCTCAACTGTAATAAATTAACCATATGCGAAAATGTCAAAAGTTGACATATGATATGTCATTCTATTCAGAGTATCATTTTCAATCGAATAAAGTAGAAATATACCGAGGCTGCCACGTAAAAATCAAAAGTTGTAGTTATTTCCGGTGAAACAGGAAGTGACCGAAAACAATCGAATACGTCAATTAATCCCAATTTATGTCATATACTAACATACCAAATCTCGTTTTTTTAACTGAAAAAATAAAAAAGTTATAGGGGTGAGCCACTTTTGAAACGCACCCGGTATATTTTTGAATTCTACATGCTCAAACTCAAAGGGGAGTTAACAACCCTCGAACGGGCGTGAATGAGCAATGTGTGTCAATAGATTTTAGATCCACAGAACCATAGAACAACAGCACGACAGAGTTTCCAGATGAACACCCGTCTATCCACTCGCATCATGTAACGTTGCTTAAAAAAAATCAAATTTGTATCTGAATTAAATCCGAAAAAAACTTTAATAAAACAGTTTTGCAAAAAACCTGTACATGACAGAATAGTAGTATTACCCATTTAACTCCTGTGTTGCTTCCCTTATCTTTGATATTTCCGTATTAACAATTTCAGTTTTTCTTATATCATAGGCAGCTAAAGCTTGATGAACAGCTACTGGTACTAAACTTGAGAACAAATCTACAATATAAATATATTAAATAATAAATCCCCAAAATACATCAAATATAAACAACCTTTGAAGTTTTGAGACATTCGGTCTTGCAATGGAAGCACTTTAGCCAAAGCGGCTTTTCCAATGGGTTCTAGCGATTTATAATCCGGTATTCTTTCATGGTATATAAAATCATTATCTTTTTCTACTTCTGCTAAGTTTCTTTCGGCTTTGTTTAGTAAATCTGAGAATATGGATTTGCCACACCTTGATTGAGCAGCTTTAAACAACTCACATGATCTCTAAAATATAGTAGAGAATAAATTATTTGGTGACATCTTAAATAATAACAGTTAGCAATATTTATTATAATACAAAATTTTCTTTATAAGGGCACTTTGTATTAGGGATTACAAAATTACCTGCATAGTTAAAAAATAAAATACAAACTTTTAAAAACTTAAACAGAGATGGTGGGTGAAAAAAAAACTGTAAAGGGAAAACAATATTTAATAAGAGACTAAAGGTGTCTAATACTAGTTTTTAGTATTAGCCACTTGTGTACTTTTTGTAAATTTTCATGGAAAATATAACTTAGGATATTTTTGACAGATCTCTGTAGAAGAAAATCATAATAGATTTATCATGTGATATAACTTGTGATTGTTATGTTTGTTTCTGCTGGACCAGATTATTTTAAATGTTCGTCTAATTTAGTATTTTTATTGCTCTCATAACTCAAAAACGAATTCATTTAAATTAATCAAAATGAACAATTTGCTTCAAGGAATTCTTTAAAAAGATTCAAATATTTTTTTTCTGTCAAATAAAATAGGGAAAACTTATTCATCATTTTTAAAATTTACTGTGATTTCCAATATTCAGGTCTATAGATGCAACACACGGTATAATAAAAATATAGTAAAAAACCGTTTTATAAATAATTACCAATTATTTTTATAATACTAAAAATATTAAAATTGTTAAAGATATATTTTTCATATACGGGGTTATTCACCGTATACGAGACGGAGTATTGTAGCTAAACAATAAGATTTTTATAAATTGTAAGTTTTGGGTTCGTTGCAGAGTGTTCGATACAGAGTGCCCCAAATAAATAAAAATATCAAAGTTGAATTGTTTTAAATGGTACACCCTGTATATTATTTTATTTTTATATTCTACGATTGAAATAAAGGCAAATTTGATTAAGGTGAGTGATAAACCTTAAACCTTGCCGTTTTTGAAATATATTCAATTTTGTGAAATTTTAATAAAAATTTTAAGGCTTCGTTTCTCCAAGGGTATGAGAGTTTTTAATGCTAAATATTTACTGAAGTTTATTTATTGATCAGATATTGTGTTGCAATAATAAGAATAATACTACCTTATACAGAGTGTCTAAAAATTTATATTAAATAATTACTAACTTTAAACGGCAATAACGTATTTAATTTAAATAAAACACCTTGTATATTTTACGAGAATCAGATGCACAATTCAATTGTCTATCAAATTGTATCATACCATTTTTTACCTATCTCTTCAAGTTTTTGTAGAAAATGCATTCTCTTATAATTAATCATGCAGAAATCAATATAATAATACGTTATGAAAATGAACGTCTCTGTTGTTATTATATAAGCATTCTTCAAAAAATTAAATAAAATTTATAAGATGTTACTTTTTACCACACTGTCTAATACACATACAAAATTCAGTTTTTTAGTATTTGGAGCCAATTATAATTAATCAACGCAAACAGTCAATTGATGCAGTTTGAATACTGGGATCCTATCAATAATTGGTCCTCTAACCAATATTTAAAGTTTTTTATTTTTTAATGAAATAACCGAATTATATCGACAATATTAATAAATGTACTCTTTGAAAATTTGTTACATCTTTAAAAATAACGTAAAATGTCAATATTCCATGGGTATATTGATAAATGAGGACTAAATTATAATAAAATGCACTTTGTACGAAAACTTGAAGGGATAGGTAGAAAATGTTATAATACAATCTGATAAACAATTATTAAATTATGCATTTATTCTCATAAAATATACAGGTTGTTCTATTCAAAGAAGGTATTGCAATTTAAAGTTAGTAATTATTTAAAATAAATTTTTAGACACTCTGTATAGGGTAGTATAATTTTTATTATTGCAACATAAAATTTAATAAATAAAAAAACTTCAGTACAATATTTGGTTTTAAAAACTTAAATACGCCTAGAGAAATGAAGCATTAAAATTCTTACTGTATTTTGACAAAAATGTTAATATTTCAAAAACGGTAAGACTAAAATGTGGTAAACCTTAATCAAATTAACCTTTATTTTAATCGTAGAAACTAAAAATTTAATAATATACAGGGTGTTTCATTTAAAATATACAACTTTGACGTTTTTTATTTCTTTGGGACACCCTATATCTTGTAAAAATATCTTTAAATTGTAGCTCTAATAGTCCTTCAACAAACCAAAAACTTCGAATTTGTAAAAATCTAATCGTTTAGCTACAATACTCCTTGTCATATGTGGTGAATAACCCTGTATATGTCGGCTGTATTGATTGCACATCGTGACCTCTGGTTAGGTTAAAAATATTCAGTAGGTGTGATCAAGAGTCAAATGGTTAACAAAGCAGTGTTTAAATTTAGTGTGTGTTTTATTAAACTAGAGAGACTAAAAATCATAAGTGAATTTAACTTAAATTTAAGTACAGTTACAGTAAACACAGAACTATTCTTATAATAACATACTCACCCTAAGTCTTGCTATTTCTTGGCCAACTGCCTTTTTCTCTCTACAAACTAAACTTTGGTAAAGCTCAGCAACTGCATTAAAAGCAGCTTGTTTCCCTGCAATCTATGTTAAATTTTATGTAATATTTATCTATACTGAATGCTTTCAACATTTTTGTTACTTACAGTTGGTATCCAGTCCTTATCCCAAATAGCTTTCAAATTTTCTCTCTGAAAAACTTTCAAACATTCGGCATACAGTTCTTCAGCTTGTGCAGCTAATTTTGCAACAATCTGGTCCTTCATATTGTCTAAAAAGAATAAAATGAATTCAGAAAGATTGTCTTCTTTGATGTTTAAAAAAAATCAAGATTTTTTCAATCCTAAACTTTTGGTAATATTAAATAAAGTTTTACCATGCATAGCCTTATGTACAAATATTTCTTGAGCCTGTGCTAACATCAACTGGGAGAGAGCTCCTAAAGTGTCCGGATTCATATCAGGAGTAGGATCGTGTTGGATGGATAACATTATAGTTGATTTCAAGTAATTAAATATACCAGAAGCTTGCTACAAAAATATAAACATTCAAAATAACTTAAGAGTTCTTATAGTTCAATTTAACCTACCTGCAAAAGTTTTGCGGCCAGTTTAAGTCCATCATCACTGTCGATACTTTGAGCTGCTGCAACTGCACTTTGTAGCGCAGCAATATTAAACAATACACAAACCTTTTCAAAACTTAAAGATGGTATAGCTGTGAAGTAAATAAAATTAAGAAATTGTAAGTTTCAATAAGTGCGTACTTATAACTAACTTAAACTGGCTTTATGACCGAAGATATTCCCTTTATCAAAAGCATCTTTCCACTTAAAAGGAACTTGTAATTCCTGTGGTGGAATTTTCGTTTCCAAAGCGACAAGTTGATCGTAGTATCTAAAAGATGTTAACAATTCTTAATTTATGCAGTAATCTAGTAATAAAAGAATGATTCATACCCATAAATGATCTCTAACGAACTCTCGTACTTTTCGAATGCCTTCCATATAGCGTTACTTCGCAGCTTGGAAAATTCGTTTACCGCTTCTGTACAGTTTTCCGGGTTATCTGCGGTACTGTATCTCGATTGTATTAGGTTTTTTAAAGGTGTAGCGATGTCGACATCGCTCGGTTTTTTTAAAGGCACCGATAACAGATCAGCCATATTTCAAATCTTTTGATAAACTGACAAAAGTGACAAATACAACAAAAATAGAAATGACAGTGACAAGTGACATCAGTGATTTGACATTTAACTTTGACAAGCGCCATAGACAAGCGAAAAAAAATACACTAGTCTTCTTCTAAAAAAAATGTTGGGCATCTACTGCCCACAATCAAGGATGGCGTTTACGTTTTTGACAAATTTTTCTACTTTTTGATGTAATATACACGTAAAAAACGCAGTATATAGAGGTAAAAACTTTTTCTTTCTTCTCAACAGACATTTTTAGCGGTTCCTGGTGGTTCTACACAAATTAAAAAACTCTCCAACTAGAAAAATTAGTAAAAAAAACTTTACGCCATATAATTATTATTATAATTAATTGCACAACCAGAAATACAATAAAGTTAAGTGGTTAAAATTAAAAAACTTATATCGCTAACGTTCCTTTTTATTATATATATTTTTTAAATTATAACTATCATTAAATCTAACAAATTCAACTTAAGTAGGAACCTATAAATAAAATGAATGAAAAAAAGTAATAAAATTCATATATACTGTTATACGAATCACACATAAAATTAATATCAATTAATTGTTGTTTTATAGAATTTCAAAACAATGACAAATACTACCAAATTTTAGAATATAAATCAAAGTTTAATATAAATAAAATAATGTATTAATATTCAAATCAAACAGCCAGGTCAACCACATACATATAAATACTTATTCACAGAAATATCAAAATGTAGCAAACTCAAAACGTTTTTATATGTTTTAATGGTACTATAAAATCGAAAAAAAAACGGTGTAACAGTGGCCTTTGAAATGAAAATTGATAATTTCTTTCGGACTTTACCTCTGGATAATATTAATTAAAAACTGATGTAAAACTTATCCAAAGTCAATACTTCAATAGAAATAAATTTAAAAAAAGTTATGCAATCATTCACAAAGGTATCTATTCAGAAAAACATTTTTTTTTGAAAATAGGATTTTTTTTATAAATTAAATTTAAATTTTTAGGTACTACTTGATGTCAATTTTAAATACATTCAAAGGCCACTATGACGTCAATTTTTTTCGAACGTACAGTATGTTTACAAACATATTTATCGGGACCCTACTTTTATATATATTTGCAAAAGTTATTCAAATGTAGAGAATATCATTGGTCCCCTTTGTATTCATAGAAATCCATCCAAAAAATTAAAAAAATAGTGGTTGACCTATACATCTTATTAAAAAATATATGTATTTTCTTAAATAGTCAAGCTTTATTAAAAACTATAGGTATGTGCCATGTTTGAGACAAACTGTCAATGTACAGGGTGTTCTAATATATATAATCCAATAGCTATACAGGGTGTCCCAGAAATAAGTGCAGACATTTTAAGGGATGGTAGATCGGTCAAGTTTTCTCTGAATCACAACATTTTAATTTTCGAAATAAAAAAAAACAAAAATCCATCAAAACTGTTTAATTTTGACGTATTATATTGAATATTTAAATAGAATATCTGATTCTGAAGAATAATACCAATAAACTTGATATTTTTAAAATCATAAAAATATTGTTTGTTCAGCTGAAAAAGCAGATATTGTGCATTCTATTTTAAAAAGTTCTCTTTATGTCAAAGTTTGATAGTCCGAGAGCATATGGCAATTCAAACAAAACTAAAATTTTCATAGTTATATATAAAATAAAATGCTTCATCAGAAACGATTGTACCATTAACATTTATAATAAATAAGTTTTCATATTTTTATAATTATTATCAATAGAACAGTTTATTTGTATTTAGTGCAAAATAAATGTTTTACAAAATATTTTTTTCTCATTCGTAGTCATTTAAACAAGTGCGGTAGTCATTTAAACAGCGGCGTCAATACAAGGATATGTAATATTTTAATTTTGAAGTTACAAAAGTAAATTATACAAAAAAATGTTACGAGTTAAAAAAACAATCAAACCAATTTGAAAAAAGAATTAAATTTAGATAAAAAAACAAAGCTGCGAACGTATATGTCAAGGTGGGTATTCACTTGCAACAAAACACTCCGAACGAACCAAAGGCGCCGCGCGCGCTGTATAAAGTTTGTGTAGTCAGTACGTTGCGCCGAACCGAACACCGAACCGCGTCAAACATTTTCCGCAGCTTGTCGGTAAACGGGATTTGCTCAAAAGAATTTGTTCGTTGGCCGGTGTTCAGTGGATACGGCAGTTTTGAACGTTCGTTGTGTTTGGGTTGTTTTTAAACTGTACCTAGCTATGGAGTGGAACAGAGAAAAGTGTTTAAAGTTAATTGATGAGTTTGAATGGTGGCCTATTTTACTAAATTAATAATTAATTATTAAATTAATTAAATTCTTCTTATGCATATAATCTAGGTCACTAAGCAAGGCCATTGACGGCGCTAAAAGAGGCGTCTTGCCCACGTTTTTCGTCCTTTCCTTTTTTTCTCTTTTTTGTTACCCGCTAATGCCTCTATAATTAAAAAAGCACCAGCCGCTATGGTAATATCAGGTGCATCCTTATCGACAAACACACTAACACTGATTCACACACTGATTACTGGTGGGAACGCAGCGAACACCGCAAACAGGCGGAACGCTCCGCGCAAAATGTTTTGTTGCAGGTCGTTCAGAGCGCTCCCGGAAAATGTTTTGTTGCAGATTGTTTGGAGTGCGCGGCGCGTTTGGTTTGTTCGGAGTGTTTTGTTGCAAGTGAATACGCACCTTTAGATTTTAAAATTTAAACTTAAGATCAATTCTTCGAGTATACATATTTGCCAAAACTTTTATTACATGACATTTCCTTCAATTGTAGGAGAAGCATGCATACCATCTCTACTATCGAATCGTTTATCGTGACGCGCGACGATATTTTTTATCTTATACTACGAATGAGATGTGTTTATGAAACCGCATCACCCATCGACTAAAACAGCGAACGGGAGACGTAATCGTGACCGGAAAGCTCGTTGTTGTCACTAGTGAATAATGAATATTATTATTATTTCATAAACTCATGTATAATAAGCAAATTTTGAAGGGATGCGACGCATCACCCGCATCAATGGAAGCTTTGTCGCTGTTTTCTAATAATGCTAAAGGATATAATAATATGTAAACACCCAGTGCAATTAAATAATTGTCCAAAAATGCAAAAAACGTTATTTTTTGTTAAATATTCACTAACTTACAAATGATCCTAAAAACTATCGTTTTAAGTGTGTCAAAACATGTCAGGCCAATCTAATCACTTATTTAATTCACAGGAAGTCTCAGTTAAATATTTTATTATTTACAAGATAAAAAGATGGGTTTCAAAAAAAAACATTAGTTCTGGAAAAAATGGGAAATATTTTGATAAACATACAAATAAGTATTTAGTTAAATAACAGGACAATTTTTTGTAATAAAAATAATACACGTACATATTAAATAAATATAAAAGTGAAGTTACTGTTTGTTTATTCCTATTCAAGTGTTTAGAAATTAAGAACTTTTGGCACGTTTTAAAAATTTATAACCCAGTAAAAATTTGTCCCAAATTGGTTGTTCCTACTCACACACCTAATTTCACTCATCCAATTGCTTCCATTGATTCATTAGACAGTCTAATGTTAGTGGTACATTTCATCAGGTGGTGCATTATCCTATAACAATATAAATATTTAGGTTATTTTTGTTGTTAAAATCACATACACTCAGATGGGAAAAAAACGCAACTCATATCTGAAAAAACGCGCAATGCGTGTTAAATTGTAAGACAACGCCTCCTAGCGTCTACAATAAAAAAGCTTATTATTATTGTTTATATAGTATAGTCTGTAAAACGAATAACTTTGAATTTCACAGTTCCCGCGGGCTTTTCTAGTGTTAATTTTATTAGGTTAGCAACTTGCGGCCATGCTGACGCAATGCCGTCTCTAATAGAACAGCATCAGAGCGAGATTTATGACGTCACGCTAGTTAGATACTACGGATTAATAAATATGTTGTAGAATATATGGAAAACATAATTATTCCTCGTATTTTTGGTTTGTATTTTAAAAATGATATAGTTTACATGAGATATACATAATATACAGTTAATAAATACAATATATATACGTATTTATAGTAATAAATACTTTGGCAGATAAACTATGAACCATACAAATGCAGCAAATGTTTTACAGTATGGCTGAAATCGTACTCCATAGTCAATGTAGATAGTTTTTGTGTTAAGAATAATAATTTAAAAAAATATGTGGTATCTTTTGACAAGTTTATATTAGTTTATTAATTGCAGTAAACATTATACTATATAAATAAATTTTTTGAATGCAAATAATAATACATCACTATTAGTAGATATTGAATGTTTTTTGTTAAATTAGATCGATTTTCAAACCCCAAAATTTAAAATATACTTTACATTTTACCCATTATCTTATGTACTACCTATTCATTATTTGTATATTGTAAAACATTTGCTGCATTTGTATGGTTCATAGTTTATTTGCCTAAGTATTTATTACAATAAATAGGTATATATTATATTGTATTTATTAACTGTGTATTATGTATATTTCATGTAAACTATATCATTTTTAAAATACAAACCAAAAATACGAGGAATAATTATGTTTTCCATGTATTCTACAACATATTTATTAATCCGTAGTATCTAACTAGCGTGACGTCATAAATCTCGCTCCGTGGCTGCTCTATTAGAGACGGCATTGGTCTAATATTTAGAAATGTCAAAAGCTGATGACGTTTTACTTTTGTCAATTATGACATTTCGTGTTGATTTTTGCAAGAAGAGGAAGAACTGTCACTTGTTTTATTATTTTCCTTTTCTATTTCACGAAAGTAAAAAGAGTTACCTACCTGATTCGTTCAGGTACTCAATTTAAAGAATATCAGTAACTTTTTTGACAGAGGGATTTTATATTTGCCATGTTGGTAAAAAATAACGGTCAAAATTCAAAGTTATTCATTTTATAGACTATATTAGGGATGTCAATCCTGAAAGGTTTTCAAAATCCCGGGATTTTCGAGATTTGAACGACGAATCCCGGGTTTAAAATTATCACAACCTAATATCATAAAAAAAATAAAAATTTCGTAAAACACGAAAATTAACAAAAAACTCTTTAAAAAACCATATGAACACCAAACAAATTTTAGCAAACAAATTATAGCTACAAATTTAAAAAAAATAGCGCAAAAATATTAATGCGTCCAAAGTTTTATCCTCCAGTCTTGAACGTATCTTATTACACAAGATCCCTGAAGAAAAACAACTTTCAGATTCCACGCTGGTGGCCTGAATGGTTGACAAAAATTCAAAAGCTCTTTAGAGATTACGTCAACGACTACCACCATTTGAAAATAATTCAATTTCTTGGGTAATAACGTCGGACAATCGCGTCTTATTACTTCTTTTGGTTTTTATCGGCTTTGAAGATTGTTGTAATGCTTTCTGCAGTTTAACCTTTAAAGGTTCATTATCTTCTCTCTCAGAAATTCGGCAATAGGAAGCTCTTCCTCTTCGCTGTCGTTGCTGGTTCCTCTTCTAGTAGTATCTCATGAATTGTCGAGCTCTAGTCTGATTAAAAGCTTTTCTATCTCTGATTTAATTAGGGAAATATTTGATGTTTTGAAACAATCATCCGTTCAGAGTTTACAGGTCGCTCTGTTTTCAGGTCGCAACGTTGTCGGATTTTACGTAAACTACTTTAGTTCCGAAATTAAGCAATTTACTTTATGGCATGAAAAATCAGTATTTATATAATCTTATTTTTGTTACACTTTTCCTTTGAATATTAATAAAGACACTATTACTATTATTATTATTATTATATAATCCAATCCCAGGATTCTTCGAGGCCAATTTTCTTCCGGAATCCCGGGATTCCGAAACCCTGGATTGACATCCCTATACGGTATAATATAAAGAAAAGAAGGCACTTTTGTATGTCTTTGTCTCGCCAAATTTTGTAAATATTCCATTTTCTTATTCTCCATAGCAGTTGCGCCTTCTAGCGGCGGTTCTACAAACTTGAAAATAATTTCCAGCAATTTCTCGTGGCCTCTTTAGTTCTAAATATTTTTTTCCGCATGCCCTACGACTAATACTTTCCAAGATACAGCAGAAACACCTTGTACAGGGTGGTACACTTTCATACGAAGCGGAGGCTCCAAGAAGAACGACAGTTTATATCGAATTATAATTTTATTAGCATATGTTGGATAATTTATAGCATTTTTTTTTAATATAGAGAGATCTAGAGGGGTGTCCCCAAAAAAAGTTACAGATCAAAGTTGTTTTTTTTTTAATGGAACACATTATCACTATATAGGGTGTCTCAGATTTTAATCGGGAAAATTTAATAGACGATAGAACTTGCAAAAATAAAACAAAAAGTTCATATAAACTTGTAAGATTTAAAGCTTCCTTTTCGAGATACAGAGTACCATTAGAATACTAATTATAATATTAATTGCCAATTAGAATTTATTTTTTTTGCAAGAAGTAAGCAAGATAGACAAAAAAGTCAGGAGACAAAAAAATAATATTTTTAATTACTAAATCCAAAAATAATATTAAACTTCTAAAAAAAGCAGTGGCGTGCCTATTTTTTCCTTTAAAATAATTTAACAGTGATGCCCCACCGCCGCGCCTGGCCATTAAACCTAAATCTAATTACATCAAATTAAGTCCCATAGTAAGTATTATAAATGGGTCAAGTTATATCAAAATTGATTAAATAGTTTTTCAAATATCTTTTATTTTTTTTCTTTTTTAAGTAACTTTAACACCCTGTATTTCGAAAAGGAAGCTTTAAATCTTAAAAGTTGATATGAACTTTTTGTTTTATTTTTGCAAGTTCTATCGTCTATTAAATTTTCCCGATTAAAATCTGAGACACCCTGTATATTAATTGCTTTTCGGATTCTAGGAGAAAAATAATGGTGAGGAATGATAATTCATTTCACAAGTGTATGACTAAAACGTAAGGTGTTTGACATATTTAACATTTTTGTAAAAATGAAGAACAAATTTCAAATTTCCATAAAAGCTATCTAAATTGGAACTTAACTGGTATAGCCTAATATGTAGTTAAAATAACTATTGTTCTTTAAATTAAATTAAAACTTCACCCAAAAAGTTATACAGGGTGAGACAAAATTAATATTGAACATTGGTCACCTTTAAAAGCAAGTTACTCTTTTATTTTAAACGGAACACCCAGTATATTATTCCCATATTCAATGGGGAATTCATGTCTCTTCAAAATACTATTAAGGTTGCCTACCCCTCAAACAAAGATTTTCCTAGATATTTTCATTTACATGATTTGATCTGAGTAGATCTTTATTATTTGATAAAATCTAGGTGGCTGGTGATATGTCTGACGTTACTTCAACATAGCTGTCAATTTAGTTCAACTATAGCAACTAGTTACCGTTTTGTGACGTTAAAAAGAAAAAAAAATTGTCAAAAATTTGCCGAAAATGAAAACTTATCCAATATTCAACATCAAAGAGAAACAGACAAATACTTTCAATGAAAAAGTATCAGTAAATTATTATTTTTAAATTCTAAAAAAACTAATGTTTAAAAATTCTAGTCTAAAAAAAGATAATATTTAAAAAAAACCCACTACCTTATTATAATAGATTGTGATTTTATGAAAATTTTAGATTTTATGACAAATCAACTGATATAGGTATATTTTACAAAGATTGTAGTAAAAATCTCTAATAAAAAACTTGACAATATTTTTTTTGGTTTAATAAAAAAATTTAATCTTACCGTGCTGCTGTCCCTATGATGCAAAGTCTGTCGAATAAAGGGATTGGGTACTTGAGGCGCTAAGGGAGGAATTGCTCCTAGCTCGTTAAAATGAGACAATTGTTCAGTCAGTTCGATAGTACCCTGTTCCACAACAGTCAAAATAACCCACATCGGATCTATGCATATAAAAAAAAACATTAAAATATGATTAAACAATAATAAGCAGGATTTCTACCTCCAAAATATGAACCACTTGGAGTACATGCCCTCCATTTACTTTGATAAATGCCGGGAACAGATGGACTAGTCATTTCTACACAAAGATGTGTTCCTTCGGCAGGGTTTAAAGCAGGTAGCTGTATCCTATTACCACCGAAATCATTGCCATCGGAAAATTGAATGTAACATCCAGCAGGCCATTGTTCAAGACCGTTATTACATATATGCCACGACTTCTGAAATCTGAAAACAAACATAATTAACAATATTCCAAATATTTCTGTTACAGTTTACCTTGTATCTGGTTCTATACTCTCTGTTTCTGTTGCAACCGGATCAGATACTAATGCCATTGATGGCAAAGTGTTGGGCGACTCTATATCTAAATACGAACAAATAGCAGCTTGTAAATTCCTGAAATAAATCACAATCATGTATTTCAACAAAAATTCTTGTTCAAAGCACCTACCAGTTATTCATATCCAAGAAAAACGCAGCGGTCGAATTATTTAGATGGCTAGGACTTCCTAGAAGTTTTTGTAGTTGAGACACAAGTTCATCTTTATCGGTTGTCCCCATACAACTAAATTGCTGTAAAAGTGACTGCTCAATATCAAGCGATCCTCCAACTCCTCCATCAGATGATCCATTATCAACATCCATTGTGCTTTGTCACTAGATACCAAATATAGTAATAATTGAGCTATCATAAAGCAGATATTGTTATAAAAAAGGACTGCAAGACATGTCTTTGTTTTTATTGTATATCACTATAAATGTTATACGTTTGTTTCAGAGCCGTAAAACGTTTAAATTGATATCAAGTACAAAAAAATAGACTAAATTTATGTTATTGGATACCAAGATGAAACAGATTTAACAATGCACCATTTGAAATATCATGATAGGATAGGAATTTATAAATAACAATTAACTTAAACTTTGAAATTTTTTAATAACTTACCTTTCAATAATTTATACTATGAATTATGATTAAAATGAGTAAATTTTATCAGAAAAAAAACTTTTCACCATTAAAACGACATGACAGAAAAACAATATGACGTCACTAAACTTCAGAATCATGACACATCATGACATGACATAATTATTTCGGTGTTGTCATATTGCAAAAATTATTCTCAGTTGTAATAACAAAGCAGTAACAAAGTAATAATTTAATTTGGGTATATTATATTTCAAATAATTAATATCTGAAACTTAATATATCTGGTTTATACGCAATAAATTATTAAGTAAAATAAAATATTTATAATATTCGTAACTTATTTTAAAATATACAAAACTTTTCAAAAAATGAAGTATAAATATGGCAATGCTGTATACGTCATAAATTTATGACGTTTGAGTGTGTTTCCGTTAGAATTTAAATTAAATTTGTTTAAAGTTTATTAAGGTCATATCACGGAAAAACTCAATTTACGAAGCAATTAATTGATAAGCAGCTAATTATGGATAACAGAAGGACGCCAAACAACTTGAAGCCGCCAACTACTAGTTCGGTGTCGAAGTGGTCCAGAAGGCCAAGAAGTCTTAGAAAACCATCAGATCCAAACTCAACATTTTCTTCTAATCCTGACCTTACATTTACTGGATCTGCTAGAAATCTAAACAGAACTGTACGACAGAATTTAAACGCGACTCTGTGTGGACCAAGCCATTCCAGAATAAAACCAGCGATGCCAGCTGCTGCAGTTGATCTAGAAGTAGAGTACGATCTAGCATACAATGAGTATTTGCAGGCTTTATTGAAACAACAAATAATTAAGAAAACCGTTGAGGAGCATAATGATAAGTTGAATGACCAAATATTTCTTCAAAAAGAGCAGCAGTTTAAATTACAGACCACGTATCAGGAAATTACAGAGAAAATATCTACTCTAAAGAAGCAAAGTGAAGTTGTAGAGTTTCTGGATAAGTTAGATGTTGGTGTTAAGGAGGTAAATAATATTTCTGAAAGGTACAGTGTTCTTAAGCGTTTAGATCAACTTTCAAATATATTAATTGAAGAATCCAATCTAATAAGTGTACAAAACATTAAACCTATAAAGTCACAGAAAGAATATGATGAACTAATTTCTACCTTGAATACTTTAAATCATACAATCGAGAAGATTTTAAATTCCGGACGGAATTTTACTGAAGTACATGAATTGGCTAAAAGTGTAAAAACTTTTGAACAATTAAGAAATAATGTTATTCAGTCGCACGAGAAGAATCTAGAATTACGAAAAAAAGCAAGTATTCAGTTTTTCTCCAATGTTTCTGATATGTTTGCTAAGCAAGGTGGATACTATTAATTAATATTTTAGTTTTTTATTCTTATTATTTATTATATAAATAAGTTCATTTTTCATTTTATATTATTATTTATTAGAGAAATATATATTTGTTGAAGTTTATTTGTTTATAAAATTATCCTTTCATTTTAAATTTAAAAAAAATTAAAACCTAGTCCAAAGAGGAGAAATGACTAGTCAAATAACTAGTATCTTTGAATAAAAAGGAACTAAACGTAATAAAACCCATCCCTGGTACTGACCATAGATACGGACAAAATATTTTTAATGAAAATTTAAGTCTATGGGTAAATGACAGTTGTGGTTTGTAGCGAACTTCAGATGTATTTACTAAAATTAAGAGTAGGGTTATAAAATTTTTAAATTTTTATTTTGTTTATTGTTTACAAATATATTTAAAATATAAAATATCTATTCTCTTTTAACAGTCTCATAAAATGTTTAAATATTTCTTTGTTGTTTTCTGCTTGTCATTATTTATTAGACAAGGTAGGCAAGTTCAATTTAAAATAAAATTATTTTTAAGGTGTGGTCTCTATCGCTAACATTATTTTACAAATTTTCAGGCCTAGCCCTTTGGTGTTATGAATGTGTATCGACACAACCTGGGTGTGGAACCCAATTCAACTGGTTGTTTCACTGGACCAAAATATGCCCAGAAACCGATGATGTTTGTGTTAAAATTATTGAACAAAGAAGTGGTAAATTTACCAATGCCTAGTTATTTCTTTTATTTTTAATTCTTTGGTGTTATTTACAGATGAAACAATAATAACAAGATCTTGTTTAAGCTCACTGAGAGCTATTCGTACTGATATCCCAGCCGATCATTACGAAGGATGTAGACCAGCTGCAAAGGATGTTCATTTAGCCAACTATGTTAATAACTCGATTAAGGAGTTGGATATATACAGGTATGTGAGTATTTTACCATAAATTCTTTTATATTACATATATAATTTTTCAGAAATTATTACGATAAAACGACATGGTGCTTTTGCTTCTTGGATAACTGGTGTAATAGTTCTCCTAGTTCAAATGCACATGTTTACCTTATTATTGGTACTTCTTTAATATCATTGGTGTATATGTTTTGAAGGTAGGAAATTATCATAACTCTACCATTTTAACTTGAATTCCGTCCCAAAAATGATCAAATTTTTGTCCATAAGTGTCTAAATATTTTAAAATTATTGATTGATATTTTGATAAGTGTGTCTTAAAGATATTATTCATAAGTGTCTTATTGAGAAGTGATTTATGCAAATAATATAGGTAAATTTAAATGTTTTACATAAAAATTGACTGGATTACAATACAAATCGTCTTTTGTATTGTTAATTATATGTTGTAATGTTTATATATTATGTAGGCTTAGTGAAAGGAGCATTTGTATAGTAAATAAGGACATTTTTAATATTCACATCTATTAGAACATTTCAAAGAAGAAATGTCATTGTGAAAAGAACATATTGAATCTCTTTCTTAGAATATTTATGATGTAGACAATTATTCTATCCGTCCAAAACATTGTTTTTTTTGTATTTTAAAGATTTTTTATATTATATTCACTTTAGAGCAATAATTATACATAGTTTTACACTAAATTGTTAGTTTTTAAGAAAAACAATAAATTTATCTCTGAAATATATCTTGATATATTTTTTATTCCATGTAGTTTATAGTTTTAAATGAACTAGGTACAAAAATAAGCACACTTTAGTACTGTTAATAAAATATATTCATCTTTATATAAACTTGTAAATGTATTTATACTTAACGTTACAATATAGACATAACACTAGCACCTCAACAATTAGTACAACATTTTTTATACATATATAACAATACCAATCATGGTAAAGATAATTTTAACTCTGACTGATAACTGATAAATAAATATTAAGTAGTTTAATATTTTAAAATATACTTTAAAAGTATATTTGGTAGTATAAGGGTGTTCATATATATATTTTACGCTTATTTTTACCCAATATCCATCTCTTTAAATATTGGTTCTGGAAAAAAACAAATATTTACAAAGCAGCTAATGGCTAAACTATAAGTGAACAAACCCTGTATATAGTGTGATCAAAATGTTTTATGATAACATGGGCTTTGAATTTGAATTGCTTAACAAATTATAATATAATTTCTCATAAAAAAATTGTTTGTTTGTAAGTTTTAATGCAGTTTTCTGCAATATGAAAAATTGTAGTAAAATTGATAAAGTTTAACCTAATAAAGATAGGATTCCTATTTAAATTGTAGTAAAATATGTGTTTATTATGTTTTATGATAACATGGGCTTTGAATTTGAATTGCTTAACAAATTATAGTATAATTTCTCATAAAAAAATTGTTTGTTTGTAAGTTTTAATGCAGTTTTCTGCAATATGAAAAATTGTAGTAAAATTGATAGAAGTTTAACCTAATAAAGATAGGATTCCTATTTAAATTGTAGTAAAATATGTGTTTATTAACAGTTTTAAAATGACTTAAATTATAAAATACTCTGGTTCAATACTCGAAGCAAGAAAAATTTGAGATTTATACTGTAACTGTCAATATTCAAAGCTTGCTTGATCATAAAACTTTTTTATCATCACATGATATACCATCCCGGACACTTCATTTACGTGGTCTGTATTTTAATGCATGCGACAGAGATAAATATAAATCATCGGTTGACAGACAGAGAGAAAATAAAATGCGGCACACAGTTTTGCCGATTTTTACGTGTGAAGGAAAGTGTGTGTAGAAAAAAATAAACTATTTTAAAAACTTTCATGTATACTACTGAAATGAATATAATGTATCTAAGCTAAATATAGTCTATTACAGCTTTATAGTAAAATGACTAACTAATTGTGAAAAATAAAGTTCCAACCCTAGATGCAACATTTTTCATAAACGCCTACTTGTGGGGTTTGAAATTTTGATGCAAAATTCGGCAATACCGCATAGAAGAAATTATCAACCCAACTTTTGTCTCTTTTTAATACCGTATGATCGAATAAAAACGGCGTCAGCGATGGCTATGAAATGAAGATCACTGTCATTTTATATGTAAAATTATATTGGAAATGTCATCGATCGTCATTTCCACTCCAACTGGACGCCATTTTTTTTCGATCATACGGTACATTTAGCTGTATACAAGGTGGTCCGAACTGTATTCCGGAAACTTCAACAGCGCATGCTGCAGATAAAAATAAGTAAAAAAGTTCATATAAATGTATGTCCTAAAACGCTTACTTTCAGAGATACGGGGTGTAGAAGTTTCATTTTTATTTCGATTTTTTCTAAATAATTTCTGAAGTAACGTTAATATTTGGATGAAAATTGATGTCTGGGATTTTTTTGATATGAGGAATTTGATTTTTATGTCAATAGGGGTTTTCGGAAATAAAATCCTAGATTAGGTAGTTTACTAATCAGCTGTTCCAAGATCAGTGCTGAGAGTAATCAGCTGGTAGTTTAATTACGAACGGTTGGATCATTAGATTAACCGGGTTAACAATCACATTTAAATATATTTCGTAAAAAGAGATAAATTAAACAAATAATCTTAATATCCCTCTTTAACGATTGTATAAGATCTATTTTTATCCTATTTGTTTTGCTTTAAGTATACTTTTTAGTTTCTGTAAGACTATTTTTTATAAAAACAAAATGTGTTTTATTTTAGGCTTTTTTAAAATTATGCCATTTAAAACAAAAACACTATAAACTTTATTTTAATAATTTATTTACTGCCAACATAATAAACATTCCATCATATTAATAATAAAAAATATATCAATTTTTATCTACCATTGTGATGAAAATTTTCAAAATTGTCTGTCAAATTCCATTCTTTCATTATGCCTGGCTATTTTAATCTAAATGTTTTAAACCACTTTTCTGTAGTTCAGTTTTCATTTTTTTCCTATTGGGTGTCTTCAATAGTGTTTTTTCGCAGACAGTATCTTTAGAATTACTTTGGTTGGTTTTTTATTTATTTAAAATCTAGAGTTACTTGATGCTATGCTGATTGGCACATTTTTACGGTCACTAACAAAATATCATGTATTTGATCAACATTAGATAAAGTGATTTCGGACAAAACGGTTATTAAAAAACTTTATACTTCTATGCGGACCGTTACGTTTAAAATTACCCTAGAAATGATCAGCTGATTAATTCTACCCACCTCGTAAGGAGGGTTAGTAGGATCACAACATATGGCAAAAATCGAGTTATTCGGATCACTTTCCGAACGCATTGACTCGTTTTGAGATCACTTTTCGAAAGTCTGGATTAGTAATCCTATCAATCCGATCAATCAGATCACAGTTTCCGAAAACCCCTAATATGACTCCTATTTGTAGGGGGCGCCACCTACATATGTTTTAACTGGTTTGAAGAGTAATAACTTTTTGTCCTTACCTGTATATAACTGTATAAAACTACTGAGTGAAAAAATATACATTTCCGTGATTTTTTACTTAAAAAATGTCTCTTACTTACGGACGAAAAGTTATTACTCTTCAAACCAGTTAAAATATATGTAGGTGGCGCCCTCTACAAGTAGGAATCATATTGACATCAAAATCAAATTTCTCATGTCAAAAAACTCCCAGACACCAATTTTCATCCAAATATTGATTTTACTTCAGAAATTATTTGGAAAAAAACGAAATAAAAATGAAATTTCTGCACCCTGTATCTCCGAAACTAAGCATTTTAGGACATACATTTATACGAACATTTTTACTTATTTTTATCTACAGAATATGCTGCCGAAGTTTCCGGAATACAGTTCGGATCCCCCTGTATCTGTCTTACACGTTAAAATCCAGACCATACTAACCAGATTGGTATATTTGAGAGTAAATAGAGAACATTGAGTTCTAATCCAAAAATTCGATAATTTATATCAGTCTGGCTTAAAAAACGTTGTAGCTGGCTAATTATTAATAAAAATTTAATAAATTACATCACAGAATATCTTGCAATGAGCAGGGTATTGCAATCATCGCACACCCTAACTGGCTTAGCTGATGACGGAAGCGACATAGAATTATCGGAGCAAGCGTTGCAGAATATTTCGCCACAGTTTCGACAGTGGTGCTGAAAATAATACACAATATTATACAGGGTATGCCAAAAAGTTCATAACGAATGGAGAATTTAAAATTTGCCTGATGGTGGGCTGGGGCTCAGAGTAGGAGGACTCTATTTTGTTTGCCTACTTTGTACATAGAAATTTTTTTCTTTATTTTTATCTGTAGAATTATAATTCTACTTGATAATTATCAAACCAAAAACAATATACAGTCATCGTAAAACAATTTCCTATGCACGTGATCAACTTTGGGTGACAAGCGATGGCGACAGCGCTGCCAGATTGATATGGATTTATCTTTGATTTATCCTAATTTAAAATTGACAAACAATATATTTATTATATCATTTTTTAAATAATTTTACGTTTTATTTTTAATTTAATACTAATATTTTAGTAATTAATTGATTTATTTGTTTTTTAGCTTATTTTACTTATTACATATTCGCAAAAATTAGTCCATTATGAATTATAATTATATTTATTATTATTATTTATTTATTTATTAATGTACAGGGTGGTAGAAATTGATCTGTTTTAACAGGGAAAACCTATTTCCTGACTAGATAGAGCAAAACCGACATATATGTCATGGGCCCGATTTCTGAGAAACGTTTAATGGCGTAAACCATAGGCGCAAACCGTCTCTTGATATTTTCCCTGCCAACTGAGATACGGGGTATTTTTGATTCTTTTACCATTTGGAAAATTGCCAATAACTTTTGTATTTCGCGGAATAATAAAATTCTGTAAAAACGTTCATAAGGCACTTTTTTAAGCACAATCCAGTGGCGTAGTCAGTTTTTTCTATACGTGCTCTTTTTGTCAGAAATAATAAAAAATATAAATTTTTAAATGGAAATCATAGTTGGCTGTGAACTTAAAAAAATGCTGGCATTTAACCCTTTCCAACGATATAAAGTTATGTGTATTTATTTCTAAGAATTAGAGAAATATTAGGATTTTTATCTTTGTATCGAAGCGGGCCTTGATTTTGTGTTGACCTAGTTGCCTTATTATTTTTTATCACAATTTAGTATTCTATATCATTATTTATCTGCATAATTAAAGACTTTTAAAAAGGTAAATCAACATTCTATATTAGTATTACCATTTACAATTAAAATGCCAGGGTTACAACTGCACTATTAAATTGAGAATTTAGAGAGAATTAGATTGGAACAAGCGACCCCATTTCTTGGCCTGCTAGGTCCTGTGATGTAACTCCTTTCGACTTTTTTATAGGAGAAATTAAAAGACCTTATATAAGGGAAGAACCATTGGGACGAGAGAAGAATTACAGAAGGCAAGCTACTACTAGGCAAGCTTTTGGACTTATTACACCAGTTTGCCTAATAAATCGTTCTAACTCTGTGCGCAATAGATTTTTATTGTGTATTCAACAAGGATGTGCTCAGTTTGAACATCTTTGATGATTTTTTTTTTAGAAAACTCTATTCGTCACTCAAAAAATACGTTTTTTTAGTTTTGTTCTTTGTTTATTGTATCGATTTCAATTGTAATTACTAATACTAATATAG